GTCACAGAGTGAGGAAATGGCCTAAATTGAAACTTGAACTGTTCTGCCAAGTTTTATGCAGTGAACGCAGGGCGGAGAGCCCGCAAGAGCCATCCCGGAAGATCTTGTGCGCCACCAACCGAACTTTCGGTGAATGTTCACAAGGTTAGAAGCTCGCATAGATAACACACATTGGATGCTAATAGTAATAGTAATACAATGCACTCAGGAATGTGTGCAAATACGACAGAATTAATTCCTAATAAAGTCAACAATAGCTGCCTCAACACAGTGCTATCAACCTTCCTTATTTTCCATATTTGTACGGAAAATCACTACTTCGTCCGCGCTATGGATTTTGAGAAAAATGTACGGAAAATTGAACGGGATTGATCAGTATGTATAAGCATTGCAAGTGCAAGCTGAGCGATGAAAAGAAGAGAACCGAGTGGAAAGAAAACGCTGCAGTGGAGAGTCCTTAGAAAAGACTTAAAAAATATCAATAATATCACTGCACGAGATCATCCTTATAAGTTATAACGTCAGCTGATCGTACTGTGGTTGATTCATACGGCGGTAAATACACACCTGCCTACACACGCTCTCTAAACTGAAAAGTTATTCTGGCACAGAGCTCTCCTTCCCACCACCACCACCATCATCAGTTTGCGTCTGGCGCCTAGTCGATGCAGGGTGAGTGGTGTCCGACATAGCAGGCTGGTACATCAGGTAGCGTATGGCGCATAGCAGATGACACAGCAACAACATAGCTTGATTGCGACGTACCTTTCGTCCCGGCTGGACTCATCAGGCAATCTTCTTCTTAGATGTCTTCACAAGGAGCTTGACTCGGGAGAATGAAGTTGAAGACTCCACTGCAACTGCACTTATGGTTGGTTCATATGGTGGTAAATACACACCTGGCAATATGGGGGTAAATACACGCCTGCCCAGACACGCTCTCTAAACTGCAAAGTTATTCTGGCACAGAGCTCTCCTTCTCACCACCACCACCACCACCATCAGTTCGCGCCTGGCGCCTAGTTGGTACATGGTTAGCGGTATCCGACATAGCAGGCTGGCACATCAGGTAACGCATGGCACATAGAAGATGGCAACGACATAGCTTGATTGCGCGTACATTTCGTTCTCTCGGTTGTGCTGTAGCCTGAAAAAGGAAATAAGACAATGCATCCACATGACAAAGACAAGTAATTACTGTTACAAATAATGCATACTGCTTGATAACAGAGAAAGAAAGTCAGTGGTCACACAAGTTTTTGGTCGTCCCTGAAACGAAGATCGTTCCAGGGGGGGGAGCTAAAATCTCAGTCGACTGACGCTATGCATACACATGTACATGCATGCGATTTTCGTCGTCCATTCATTTCGGAGGGTGGAGAGGAGGCCCGAGTACGAAATGAATGATGTTTTTTTCAGGGATGACTAATCACTTTTGCGATGACCCCTTATTGCATCAATTTACCGTCTGAACTGCGCAATTAAGTCCCACTTTTATTATGTTGGGTCCAGATTTCAAGACTCGTGAAGTTCGAGGCGAAAAGCAGGCCGATGAAGGGACGCCAGTAATTCAGTCTAGTCCGGTGTCATGGAGAGGGGCCGATGAACCGGCAACAAGAGAATTCAATACGCATGCTACTCTTCAGTTCATTGCTGGGGAAGACTACTCAAGGCCACGTCACTCCGGCAATTCAATGTACAAATCAGCAGCAACACTTGCAAACGTATTCCTACCAGCTGACCAGCAAGTTACCAGCCATCAGCTCTTCAAATAAATTCAACTTAACAAAGAGAGGAGATGGACAGATCGGAAAGTATCGTGGCAAGCTCAGGACAACACACGTCCGGCCCTATGTAACAACAGTGGAAAGTGTGTGCCATGGTATATTTTCGAAGGCATATCAAGAACCAGCTAATGTGGACTGGGAGTCCATTTGCATCGTCCGATCAGCTGCTACTAGTGCCGTGAGCCAATGGCAAACACGTTTGACAGAGACTACTACCTCTACTGAATGCAACTTTGGCATGGCAGAGATCTACAAGCACCGTTATCTTATCTATCAATAGAGTTGTATCCTCGTATGACTATGTGAAGTGTGAGGTCGTACTGTACTGCAGACGCGTCTACGACCTGGTTGGAAATGTACGCAACAGTTCCCACCCTCTTGACCAGAGATCGCACACACCCTAGGGTTTTGATGGGTTTGTACGACTCCCAGCTCTTGACTTTTGTTGGGTGTACGAGACGCACGCACAGTTTTCTTAGGGTGAGTACTTTTTCATGTAGTACTGAATGCGGCAAGCAGGACTCGCCCATCCGCCCCTCCCCAAATGGATCTACTCGAATGGTTCCGGAGGTACGGGTGCTCTGGCGGGATTTTACGACATACACAAGCGCGCACACACGCACACAATATCACGCACACACATACACACGAACGCACGCTATGTCGCACGTCTTGGGCATGGCTTCGTGAATACAAATAATAATTTAATGTTACAATTTATAGGATCCAAATGTTAGAGCAGCTTTACAAAACCTACCGTTCAATACCGGATTATCTTGTGACAGCTTCCTTGCAACACCCATGACTTGACCCCACTTCGTCTTGACGTCGGGAAATCGTTCACACCGGAGTTGGGACACGACTCATTGAAATCCAGGTCTATCTGCAGCTGGGAGCAGGACAGAGCTGATGGACGTCAGCAGCGGCTGTAGAACAACCATAAACGAGTCTTCTTTCTCCGCAGTCAGGCGGGACAGCAGCTTTGCAACGCAAGCTTCTTGCCTTCTGTGGGTCTTTAGCGGCTGGGATTCGGAACGCTCTGTAGAAACCATTGAACAAGTACTGCACTCTATCAACCCACAAGTATTTCTTCCAATTCATGATTATTCGCAACTTTTTATGCAGTACGCGCACCGGATATCAGAAGCCGCTAAGTAGCAAGGTTGAAAGTAAGTTTCAAGACAAATTGAAAAATATAATAACATAGAAAATTATAATTCAAACCATACCTGTGGCCCAAGCCAATACAGACTGAGCGTTCACGCGAAGAGAACGTAGATCTACGTCAGCTGAGGTTTCCTTAGGATCAGTAGGTGATTCTTGACCCGGATCTGGCGATCATCAAATGCAACTAATCACTTGGAAAAGTAGTTCATTCTTCTTTTCGAGCTACGATTTCCCACGATCCTATCGATCCTGCACGAGTCCGTTCCCCATGGAGTGCACTCCCAAAGGCCCCATGCCATGGCATAAGTACGCGGAGTAGTTGGTTTATAACTCAGGGCACGCACCGGGGATATCTGAGGGAAAAGTGGGAGAAAGTGCCGCGAGTCAATCATAGTCGGCCCGGAAGGCCTCGTGTCGCCTCCCGGGTCTATACGACTCCCTGGTTACAAGTCTCTGGTGTATAAGGCCGAGTAAAAAAAATTACTAGATGATCGTCCTTTTTTTTGGAAAAATCGGGGAGGGCGGGAGGATTTTATTTTTATTTTTTTACTTTTTACCCTCTCATGCACACAGTGTACACAACAACATCAAGGTTTTTTTTCTCTTTTTTTCTTTTTTTTTCTTTTTTTCTTTTTCTTTCTTCAGCAGATCGATACTGACGTTGTGATATACTACTTACTAGTAGTATGTGGTCCATATAGTAAAGAAAGTATTAAACAAAGCGTGCACATGTTTCCTGCATCCGCGATCGGTAAAAAACCAACGATTTCGGCAAAAACTCACGATTTAAAAAATAAAATATTTCTTGGGGCGCTGACAAAAACTGGGGCGGACGGGGACGATCATCTAGCTTTTTTTTTTACTTGGCCTAAAGCACCCATTATTTGAGTAAAAAGCCGCCACGATGAGACGTTGCATGCTGACCGAAAAGTGCACTGTGTGTACGTGTAGTGCAACAAAAAAGTTCAAAAAACGCGGGAAAATCGCGGAAAACGCGGTCTTTAAAAAAATCGCAAAAAAACGCGGAAAAAAACGCGGCCGCGGAATCGCAATTTTCCCCGGGGACAGGCTATGCTTCTCTTGCTGCACGCTGTCTGATCACATGCGACGTCATCATTATGTGATTTGTTTTCAATCCTCCGCCATGGCAAATAATAATAATTGTGTTTTGTTCGCCCGTAAAATGATTGTACTTCTCATACATAATCATTGTACTAGTACATGACCATGATGACTGTACTTCTCTACAACTAAACGCCAACGCGGCAACGGTACAGATTTACGTGGGCTCTACGTACATTATGTAGATGCATTTGACCAGTCTGTCTGGCTGAATCAGTGAATGAATGCTTACACCTGTCATCGATGCTGTCAAGAGAAATGGCGGATATCCGGATAGTCAGCGTCAATCGTACGTAAACCTGGTGCTAGGACGGAAGACTTCCATTGCTCGCCGGGGGTGCGCGATCACTTCTTTCTCCTTTTCTTTGCCTTTTGGGTGTCTTCCGAACGTCGCTAGGACGAAGCAACGAAGAGGGACCCCATTTTTCTGCGACCAGATTTCGCTCCTCGCCCTAGCCCAGGCGGAATCGTATCTGCCATGATCTGGACTCGACTACGATCATTGCTGCTGGTCCATGCAATCAGCCAATGCGATCAAGCCAGTGCCAGCAGCCACGCCGGGCGCTGTGTATTCTGTAAATGATTATGTAGCTCCTGGACCTGCGACCACTGGCACTGGGTCTCGGACAAGGGAGTGAGGAGTTAGAGTGGCAGTTTCTAGCCTTTTACTTCTCCGGCCATGGTCTCGGCCGAGAAGTAACGTCTAACAAAGTCTGAGAACTGGCACAGCAGGGCGCAAACGTACTTGGTTCACGCGATCAGAACAGCTAGGCATAGCGCTAGCACTGCACCTGGTAAACAAGTCACATGGCAAAAGGAGGAAAGTCGCGCGTAGGCCCGACCTACCGAGCGCATTCCGGTTAGGTGGCCAGTCATACACAGCACTCACACTCACATAGTCAGCTTGTTCGAGCACTTACTAGTACAGTAGTCAGTAGCAGTAGATACGTCTTTGTTCAAGAGCCTGGACGTAGATCTACCGCGTACCGGTGCACTGGCCTAACCTCCTTGCAAATCCTCAGCTCTAAGAAGACAGTTCAGTGGTGGTTAACTCCTTGTTGCTGCTCGCTAGAACCAGGTAATATCTCGTGTTTGTAAGTTGTAGCTGCTGCGTCTTCTTGCCTGGTGTAAGACAGGGTTCTCTTTGCGTTGACCCAATTATTTCTAGAAGAGCACACTCGCTGTCCGCAGCTGTACTTTTCAGGCTACTTACCGCACGGCACCCATCGCTAAACAGGTGAGTGAACAGGTTCCTGGTTTCCGTTCCGGAGCCGCTTCGACTGACATTCTGGCCGGTTTCCGCTGAGGCTTCAGACGAGCAAAAGAGCGGAAGCCGAGGGTCGTTGCGAAGCCCAGGTGCTAGGCCAAAAGTCGCTCGCCAACATCCTGAGTTTTTTGTTTGTTTGTTTGGTGGGAGTGTTGAACTAACTTTGTCTTCGCTAGTTTCGTATCGCCATTACCCCATAACGACTGTACCCAGCGCTGTGGAAAACATCCCAAACCACCAGCACCCACGCCTGTGCTTTCTTGTGGTAACCGAAAAGAGTTACACGCAGTGGTCGACTGCAGTCCGGCTCATTGCCATTTGGGTTGCGCCCGTTTTTGTGTGCGGCACGGCACACACATGGACACCTGCCGCAGCGTGGTTGTTTTGCGGGTTTGAACTCAGTGCTCCCTCTTGAGAGGATAGTGTCGACGACCAACTGACTGGACTTCACTCTCCTCGACCCAGAGTAGTAGAAGTACATTGTAAAATAATAATTATTTGTTTTGGTTAGCGAATATGGGCGATATGCAGAGTCCATGGAATGAGGGTTTGGTTGTTTTGGTCACGCAGGGGCGTCGGACACGCTACGGTCACTACGGTATTGACCGTACCACTTTTTGCCGAAAGTACCCCGTGAATCTATAAAATGCACTGATTTGGGCTCTAAATTTCCAAAATTTTCGGCTCCGCCACCCCTCCCTCACGCGCATTCTGTTCTTCAGATAGCTGACCGTACCACACTAAATTACCTTCCGACGCCCCTGTCACGGTATAAGTAAATGAAACTTCGAAGCGCTCCTTCCTGTGTGCAACATTACAGGAGTCCTGTTGCAGTGGGGCTCACACCTGCTGCTGAAGTTAATTTCCTAGTGCGGAGTGCAGACCGACCCACGCAACAGTGCGGTGTATGCTGAGGTCAGAGCTGCACTCTTTACCAGCTCTATCGGTCCAAGATCACACCTGTCCATAACGTTATCCACAAGCATTCAATCCCAATTTCCTGTGCAGACAAATACAAAGTGAAATACACGTACATGTATGACATTTTGCTTTCCAAGAGGAAGCGGTGCAGCTTAGCTGTATACCCTGGCGAGGCTTTGACGCTGGAAGATATCGCATACTAACAGTATTATGTTGGTGTGTTATAACTACTTGCGAGGGAGATTTTAACTATTCCGTAGTTGTACCACTATTCAAATACATGTCCGTGCAGTCCAGTCAGCTTTGGCCTACCGCACAAATAGCATGTGTGCATGACAAGTAACAGTTGGCAACAACATTATTTTTAGAGAAAAGCAGCAAAATATGCACCTCTCTCTAAGCCTCTGGATTGAGAGTTCTCAATGACAGCTACTGCTAGTACAGGTGTAGTACCCAAGAACTATGTATGCAACTGCTTACTATAGGGAGGTGTCCGAAGGAATCATAACTTCAACCTGGCGTGATTGGCCGTGGGTCTCAGCGGAGAAATGGGTCCTGAGTGTGGAGTTGTCCTTGGGTGAGATGTGTGCACAACACCAGTTGACTCCGAAGTCCTGTGCACGTCCACTACAAGTGTGATGATCAACATGTCCACTATCATCGTGTACATACGTACACAGTGATGCATGAGCACAACGTGAAGAAAACAACTCCCAGTATAACTCCCAGTGATGTCAGCTGGCATAGTACAATGGTGCCCAGTACCGCCAGCCATGTAGTACAGTGTGTATGCTTCCCACAGGTTACATTTATGTACTGGGCTGGCCTGGAAAAGTCTGAAAACCCAGCTTGGGGCTTGGGTTCAAGAAACAGTACAGCTCAAGTGTTTATGACCTAGTATCATTACAGCAGCCTCCAACAGCTGGCCCAGTTGCCTTTTGGTTGTAACTAGTTGCTTACTGTGCAAGCATTGGCACCTGACAACTCCTGCTTCTATTAGGGGCCATTCGTAAATGCTGGTATTTGTTCGAAATGGGATTTATTCATTTCTCCCCAGTCCCCCTCCTTCCCCTTCAAAACGAACATTTGTTTATGCAGGGAATCGATATTTTATAATGAAGTAACACTCCTCTTAAAACGAAACCAACGCAACTCCACATCCACTGTCCACCTAGGCTTGCACTGGTGCGGTCGCACAACCTTGCCGGCATGGCTATAGAGGTTATGCAATGACATCATCAGTTGAGATGCCTTGGCAAAGTCGCGACTCACGCTGTATGTACATAGCGCCCATAAGCGGTTCTTCTGACTCACCGCCATGGCATCTTTTGCATAACCTCTATATTCACACGGTTGATAGTCCCTTTATGTAGGGCATCAACAACATGTACATGCTTGCAAAGTGCCCCCCCCCCCCCCTCCCCTTATACGGCCACATCTAGATATCGATATTTTTCACGAAGACAGGAGAAACAGGGCCCAAACCCCCTCCCTAAAGCAAACCAACATCTTCTCTATAAACATTATTGATATCTGTCGAGACCCTTGTGCAAAAATCGACAGTATAGCGGATGCTCTGCACTCCAAACATGATACCAGACAATGAAAGCTATACCAACTACAGTACAGTCACTGAGTACATATCACGTATGTCTTTGATGGCCAATACTTGTGCTGCCCCCCCCAATGATTGCATTGATTGCACACCCAGGGACTGTGGCATTTATACTTCAAGTGTTGTTCAAACACATTATCACTACAATGTCATGTCGCAATCAACAGCTAGTCTGGTTTCAAGGAGACCGTACAGTCACCAAAGCACCTGACATTCCGCATTCTGACTTTCCTATGCGCTGGGCACGGGGGTTTTCATAAAGTGGAACTTGAGTACAGTCAGTAACACCCCGCTCAGCAACAAGTACATGTAACCTGGTTTTGTGGCAATGAATAAAACAAAATGTGCAGTAATAACAGTGTATAGGGCTTGAAAGTGATGACGTCAAAACGGCCAGGGAGTAGTAAGTTGACATCAGATTTCTATTTTTGGATCATGTGACTTTGCTATTGCCTAAAGTATGTGGGTGCATAGCAACCCACTCATGTCACATGCAGGTGTGACTTTTATTTCGCCACCAGTTGTAACCCCGCCCCCAGTAGCCAAATCAGTCAGTTTCACTGGCTACATCACCATGCTGTGAGTAAGACGGCTTGAAGTGTGCTTGGAATTTTTGAAATTGTTGCTATGCTGTGACGTAGCACTTTCAAGCCCTATTTAAATAATTATACTAGTTTCCAACACGTTTTAGTGTGGCACTCATGAGTGGAAACTAACTTGTCAGGCATTGTCTTTAACATACTTTCTCTTCACATCGTTTTGGAGATGCTGCACATCCTCTTTCAATCATTTGATCTTGGCTATTATTATTATTATTATTATTATTATTATTATTATTATTATTATTATGGCGGTAAACACACGCCTGCCCACACACGCTCTCTAAGCTGCAAAGTTCTGTATTATTATCATTATAATAAAGAACCCTCTGAGCTACGTTTTACTGAAGTTTCACTGTAGTTCGATGTGGAGTTTCAAGGATTTTACGATTCGGAAAATTCTTTGACATTCAACATGCACTCATCAAAATTGTGTGTGCGGTCCTCTCAAATGTACGGCCTTGCACGACCAAGTCCGGGCTCATAGTTAATTCAACTCGTGACAGAAGCTGACCCACGACACCTGGGTTATATTGGGGAGTACTGCAATACACTAATAGCCATGCCTGTCAGTACTGAATTCACGAATAATATCTCCTCCATCTCCCTCCCTTAGTCTGACGCATTGTCTTTCTTCATATGCTCTGACAGACACCAACATGGATTTCAAATTTCTTCTGCTGACCGTGTGCGTCGTGGTACATACAGCGCACTCAGCTCCGCCGCCTGGTATAAATGTCGCTAAGGATGCCGGTAAGTTGTTCATGGCTGCTCTTTGGCGATTGCTGTACAGTGGGTAATTTCCGTACCCCCAACGTTTCATTCACCGGTCAAACAGCAAAAAAATATGTTTTGTACGGTGTCGATATGGGCATTGCCTGTACAGAAATAATTCAGGATTTCCAGGCAAAGTGTACGAAATACCATCAGTACAAAATATGCCGATATTCCATGCGAACAGTATCTGTTGCACAGACTAACATGATTAATCCTGCTTAGCTGTGTCAGGGTAGCGTGTTCCGCCTCGAACCATCCACACATCCACACATCCAACTGTGCCAAAGGCCAAGGATATTATTCCCGTAGCTATGCAAAAGACGTTACTTCAGTAACGTCTGGCGCTAGCCAGGGTCCACACAGCTTTTAATTCCCGTAGCTATGCAAAAGACGTTACTTCAGTAACGTCTGGCGCTAGCCAGGGTCCACACAACTTTAATTCCGTCTTTGTTTGTTTGTGCCATCGGCATGCCTGGCGCTACCCCGTACCTTTCCCGTACCATCAAAGACAGCTGGCCACAATATTCAAAATTTGCTTCTTATTTGGTTTGGTGGCCACAACCCCTATAGCAGGATCCGAGATCGAGGTGGTTTTCATCAGAGGCGATCCTACAGCTACCCCAGCGGAACGGAACGAGATTCGGAAAAGAGAAGTACTGATCGAGATCGCTGTCAAGAAAGCTGAAGGTGGCGGCATCCTGTCAGTATGCCCAACCCCGCTTCACGTGCCTAGTTTTCATGCATCACCCCGCCATGATTCTCTAGAAGGGCAAATGGCAATGGATCTGGAATTGTGGACTGGAACACAGACTGGAACATCAACTCAAACTCTGTATATATGTACATATTTTATATTTTTTTTACCGATTGCAAAATTCATGTATTAATAAGACAAAGTTTGACTTAATCGGTATCAGCTTGCCATTCAAGAAGAGGATGGCGGGGCAGATTATCAGGAGAATAAACCTCCGGTGAATAGCATTCGGATTCTCCAAAGCATAGCGCGGGAGGCATGTAATCATCGGTGTCTACAAGAGGGACTGGTAAATCCCGCATAGCATTTGCAAGATAATCCTCATCGGTGTCTACAACAAAAGGGACGGGTAAATGATGAGGCTCAGCATGAACAGATACAAGAGATGTTAACAAGCCATCATCCGAATCAGTGCCTGGATATCGAAAACGTAGATAACACTCAGACACCTTCCAGAAAACGGGGTCTCTATCAGGCCAAATAGTATCATGATACGTTAACATAACAGCAGCATTATACAGCATAGGCGCAACATATGCAAAGCTATCATCATCTGCTACAGGAATATTAAATGGATGCATGCGGAGATAGAATTCATCCACCCAAACATCGGGTTTGATGGAGTCATCCATTTGCACACCACGGATTCTGGTTGAAATCACGGAAACATGTGACACGGCGCATGATCTGATCTCCTAGCGATGCATCACGTTCAGCGTCACCGCTAAACCAATCATTGGGATGAAGAGCTGACGTGATAAAGATATGAGAGACACGCCACTGAACAAAGGCACCCTTAACGGGCACGAGCAACTGTGTGCCATCAAGCACCCTGAGTAGAAGACGCGGTCCCACTCCTTGCCCGCCGTCGAAATCATCGAAGAGGGTGGCAGGCTGACCCATGTACCCATCAAACCACACGCCGCTACTGCCTGCGAACCTGAAGACAAGGTGCGGTTGCCCTCCGGTTCGGGCCATACAATAGCGGGTCTTGCCACTACCAGTAGCACCAACGCACAAAGTGCAGCGAACACGTGGCCGAGGACAGCTGCCGGGCAGTATGGGAATGGAATGGGCGATGCGGTACTGTGCCAACCACCGGTTGATAGCTGACCCGAAGCGTATAGACACTTCTGGGTACCGTAGGGCGACCTGCCAATCAGTTGCACCTCCCCGGACTGCGTCCGTCGCACAGTGTAGATCATTCCGTTGACCTTGGCCACAGGGTATTCCCGCTTCCGCATACAAGCCACTCTTTTTGCAGTAATCAGAAGCTTCCCGGACAGACCAGCGACGTGGCTCGACGTGCGGGTACCGGTCGCTAAACAGAAAGCACGATCGAGCAGTTGCAAACCGTACGCGTGACTCAAACTAAACGAAGAGTTGCATGTGCAGTCCCCCAGTCGTTGGCGCTGTTTCCATCCCGCACACAATGTACTTGGGCCTAACCATGGGGCACGAGATGGTATCTTGAATTCTTCTGACTCCGAACAGCGGTGTAGTAAGAATTGCTGCGCAATCTTGGGCGTGACGAGCATGAATCGTTGCTGTCCAGTCAGAAGTCCTAGCGGCGGTGGGCCTCCGCATAGGTCTGCCATGATCTCTCTCATTGTTGGGAATCCGCAACTTGCGAGACCCTCGGCGATATGATTGGCCGTCTGCACTTCGTCCTCGAGCACTTGTGCCATCTTGCTCCCTATACTGATCCATTTCTCTAGCGTTATCTTGTCGAACAGATCGTAAACGAGATCTGCCCACTCCTTGGTACGACCTTGCAGAAGTATGTGCCCTGGGTGTGAGCATCCGTCCAGCCGATCCAACATCGCCAAGGCTCGCAACGCGGGGTAGGAATCGCGGTCTATCAGAAACAGATCTTCGTCCGTGCAATGGCACAATTCTTTCCATGCCAGCGCTGGTGAAGCAGCTAGAGTGTACACGGATGGCTTCGAAGACTGGGAATAGAAGAGAACACCGTTCTCTAACTGTGCTTGCGTGACGTGAAGTTCACTCTTCCTGCGTTCAACATCCATGGGCATAAGGGCGGATCCAACAGTCTCTCTTGGCTTTGTAGTTGACCATGGAAGTTGATCATACAGTCCACCATACACTACAGTCTGCGTGCCTTGTCTCTTAATCTTCTTCTTCTCCAAGTTCGCTGCCAGGCCTAATTCGATGTAGAGGGGAACGAGAACGAGCTGTTCTGGACCGGGTACTTTTGGTGGAGGGAGCTCGAGATCTTCCTCCACGAGCTCCTGCGACAGAGGAGACAGCGGCAACGGCGGAGATGGAGGCAGAATCTCGTCGCACTTGAGGCTCGCCTCTTCGGACTTCACTTTCACTGCTCTCAGTATCTGTGCCATCCTTCTTTTCCTGCAAACATGCGAGTATAAGTTGGGTGCGACCTTTGAAGCGACGAGCTGCTTCGTACTCTCTCACGACTAAACCAACTGCTAGGCGTAAAATCCAATCAGTGACCTCCGCAAGGTGATTATCGTATCGTTTGACGTTATCAGGAATCGGTGAACCCTTGTACAAACACTCGGAAGCAATCTCACGGGCAGTAGCACCAAGTTCCTTACGCTGAGTCTGAGCAATAGTATCCACTTGTCCTGGCGTTGGGTTCGCCTCATACGTGAATGCTTCGCTATCAACTTCTACTCCTTGTTCATCGCATTCGCTAATATCTCTTAATTTGCTGGCCGAAAATCCTATATATAGGATTTGAAAATGTGTGCCTTTTATGCCGTTGTTATTGGTCATCACGACCAATAATAACGACATAATGGTTTTCATGGAAGTTGTAAATATGTTTGAGGCATGAATGTTTACATTTTAGATTCAAAGGGCGATAATATTTCTGATGAATACCCATTTTCAGCAGTAATTGGAAATTTGAGCATAATTGTTCAGCTGCTGTCATGGAAAGGACTGAAGCAGTGAATGTGCAGAAGAACATTGCAGGTGTGGCACGGGGTGGTTTCATGACGACATATCGCACATGCCGTCATGAAACTACCAGTTTTAAGGATAAAACAAGGTCCAATAAAATCTCAAATCCTATATATAGGATTCGAAAAATAGGGCACAGGCCTTAGAGTAATATTGGGCAAGGAGATGAGCCTGAGATGTTAGTGTTTGAAAAAATTATCTTATTCAACTCTCGATGTCTACTAAGACCTAGCAAGGAAAAATTGGTCACATACTTTTTTGCTATTCTCATGCCACACCCATTTTGAGTTGAAAAATATGACCAAAATCCTATATATAGGATTTAGCAAATTAAAAGAGATATTCAAGCGCATGACCATCCAACAACTCCTTGATCTGAGGCCCGAAAAACTCACCGGCACTACGGATATTTTCCAAATCCAAGCGCCTGTGTAACCGTCTAATGCTAGCGCGAACCCAAGTCAAGTCGTTGTCGGTTTTCTTCACACCAACATTAGGCATAAAACTAAACCCTCTTGAAGACATGCTGAAAACTGATGTACATTTGGGCGAGCGTTCGTTCTTTTTGTTTTCTGCAGTAGCGAGCTCCGTGCAAACTTGTGGGACCTTCGTGCAAATTCTACATAGATTCAAATGCAACTTTAGTACGCATGCGTTCGTGCCGCGTGCAAAACTCCACATAGAAACAAATGGAGTGCCAAAGCGCATGCTCCCGGGCTGTGTGCAAAATAGCGCGCTTCGTGCAAAGCGTGCATAAACGACAAGTGACGAACTACTAGTCAAAAAGTCACGCACTACTAGTCAAAAAAGGTTTCAAAATAGTGGCCAGAAGTTGCAAGTGGGCAAAAGTGGCTAAGGGTAATACTAGCCTTAGCCACTTTTGGCCACGTCCTGTCAACGCAGCCCACCAGCGAACCCAGCCTTGGCACGCGCGCGAACTGCGTGCACAACAGATGGGCCCCAAGTGCGGCCTGCTTTATATTCATACTTTGGTTTTGTAGCCTTTTTTCAGTACTGACTAGTTATATGAGTTCTGCGCTGCGAGCAAGGGTTGCAGGCAACGGAGCACAAGTAATCTACCCGCGCTTGGATTTTCGGTGAAGAGCCGTCGGTAGCTGTGAACGCCGAACCATTTGAAAGCTTCTCCCAGGAGTTTCGCATTGGACCGCGAGACGCCGAGATAGCAGAGTTCAGCCCGCAGTGGAACTACAAAGGCGATTTTGTCAGTGCCAAAAAAATCCAATATTGGTACCAAACCGGAGCCGTCCGCGTGGGGTCAACGCATGCTCTGTTTGCAGCTACCATTGTACAGGTTGGAGGCAAAACAGCGCGAAGTGGAGAGATTTCACGGACTTGGAGTGAAGGATCATTGCAGCAAGGCCTGATTCAAACTGGCGAGGCGCTGTTGTCAATATTACCCGGTGCGGACATTGCTGATCTGCTGACAAAAGTTTCCATGTCCGATCCGAAGACGAAGGAGAAATCCAAGAAGAAAACTAAAGTCAACACACAGGCAGCATCAAAGAAAAAAGATGTCAGCGATAAGCAGCCTCGATCTCGGAAAGCTCGCTCAGTGGGGCAGAGGAAAGATCACTCTCGGCGCAAAAGTGACTCCAAACACGCAACTCCCAGCAACAAGACTCATTCTACCCAAGGATGTATCAGCAGGACTGGCATCTGGTGAGGGCGCTTGGATAAAGCACATGCATATCAACAACGTGTTGTGCAACCAATCTATCCAGTATATCAATGAGATCCAGATAAGCAAAGAAGTAAAAGCAAACGTGAACGCCATCGCAATGATGAGGCTCATCGGCGCGAAATTTGAGTCACCCGTCTACGGCATTCAGCAGATCGCCGATTCTCAGTACCCCATGTTCTGTGCTGTGACGAAGAAGGTGTAGAGGAGACGGCTCGATACCGGGACGTTTTGACAGCCAAATTTGTATAGACCCAAACCGATCATCAGCGTTGATTTTTCACTCGAAATATGTTTGTGGAAGGAAACTGGCATGTTGAAGTTTGCTCTGGGGCCAGAGTCAATCGAACTGAGCCACTCCTTTGTGTTGACCCATTGCCTCCAAGTTGCCCAATTTTTCGCTTCAAAAAAGTTCAAATCAGAGGTGGCTCCAAACCGGACACGTTTTAGAGTGCACGTCAAATTCACTCTGGGTCTGAAATTAGGTAATTGCTATCGCTCCACGACGGCCAGTATAGAGTAACAATAAGCCTTGTGTGTGCTTCCATTAGTTTTGATTGGTATGCGGTGCTTTATTGGCGAGAGGCGAGCCGCTGTTTACCTGCGACAAGAAGTTGATTTTTCGAAAGTCGTAAAACTCAAGTCGCAGTGCGAAGCAACACGTCAAAAACTCACCTGCTTGATATGGCGCTTCTGGTCATCGCAGAGCCATGAAATTTTGGCTCGGAGTATAACACGTAGTAGTCTCACTGTGACATATGTTTTCTAATCAAAATACCAAGAGAGAAAGTGAATATTGAGTCCGTTCCGGTTTGCAACCGGTGTCCTATTTGAAACCGTCCCCTCTACATCAAAGTACCGAAAGTCCTCATCGGCAGCTTCAAGATCTTACTCACAGATCCTGAGACGAAGAAAAACCTTGTGGTAGATTTGGTGTCACGTGTTTGTTTCGTCTTGGTCGCTGTGGACACGCGTCATTGGTTGGTGGTGTTGTGCGCATGCGCGAAACTGTGTGAGCTAGTCTTTGGTCTGTCGTCTTGTCAAGATGTAGTCGTTTTCCGTGTTCTTGTTTATTCGTCAATAAAAAGAGTGTAAAAAGGCAGTCCAGTGGTGGCGGTTGAGCTGATGCAGTGATATGATGCAGTGATGGAGAAGTAATGTTAGACTTACAACTACAAAATTTGGCGCCCAACTATCTCTCGACGCGGAGTTCTGCCTCCGCAGCTCACGACTCTGAGATGTGTGTTGCTCCCGTCACTGCTGGACTGTCCTTGTTTATTCGTCAACCCTGTCTGTGTTCGAACGTTCGTCGTGGAGCTGTGTCGTCGTCCGGTGTCTCGTGACAGATCCTGTGTCCTCCCAAATCATGCGAAGATTCTGTGATGCGCATGAAGGTGTTTCTTTCCACGAAAAAATGTGGCAGATCGAAGTTACGGAAGGCTCTGGGACAGAAGCAAAAACTACTATCGTCAATGCTGGTGTCTACCAAGAAGACTATGCCAATATGACCGGAGTCTACGCTCATTGCACTGTGCACAGGAGATCGAATACACAGTATTATTCAGCAGCGCAGCAAGGTACTCGACTCTCAGGGTCAGTGAATGACCTGGGCCAATCAAGCGAGTGGATAGAGATGGACTGCACGGACCAATTCATGACCGGAGAAAAGTATGCCGTGATTATCATTCCCGCTAACTGCTCCAGCATCGTCGGCGTCCAGCAGCAAAAAATGAGCAACATGCCTTACAGTCGTCCTATTGAAACCCAATTCTCCGTGGATTTGCTCATGAAGTACGATATCCAGCACCTACCGATCAATGCGTACCTACAGAATCTCGTTGCAGAACAGGCGAACGTCTCCACATCTCTCGAAACTTACGGAGCTCAATACCAACAGTTCCAAGTGCCCGATATGTACATCGGCACAAGTGATTTGAATGGCTGGGGCCCAAGTGACGTTGTAGGTGTACCGCGTGACATGCCGCCTACAACTGAGATTCCGAATCCTGACACTACTGGCAACGTGCCTGTGGATCCGCGGCAGAAGGGTACTGCTTCTGGTCCATATACCCCGTCATCAACCGATGTACCTCTTCCCAGTAATCCGGAGATTGTGACTGACACAAAAGCGAAGTCACAGACTGTGCATCCTGGTCAGCATGCAGAATTCCATAAGTACAGCGCTAAGATGAGTACTTCAAGTTTCTCAACGCTTCATCACAGCGGTACTCAGCGCAGAGGAGAGGACCATGTAGAAACTCTCGCTGCACACAGACAGGCGCTCCCTGGCCGTATGCGCGCGAGACGACAGCTGGCGGATAACATCCAGCGTATGCTTGAGTTGAACTCAGGTGTCAAGAGCCAGAGCAATTCAGATACACTCACACTGCTACAAACCGCTACATCACTGCTGCGACAGGACCCCTACAGTGATGCCTACCGTGTGACTGAAGAGCTGTCGAAAAGAGGACATCCGTTTGTACTGAACACATGCCATACTCACCCACATCGAGCGCGCGTTCGAATTGCTGAAGGTGTGCACGTCATGTTCACCGAGGAGAATACTCATTCTTCAACGCAGGGCTTTCCGGAAGGCTCTTTGAACGAGTATCAAGTGGCACAAGCGCAAACAATCAGTGGCTTGACAGGCGATGTTACGCTACCTGGGCAGCAAACAGATCCAGATCGCGCAGCGTGGCAGACTCTAATGGCATGCGCGACTATCACGCCTCATGTGAAGAGGGACACGAGCAGTGGCCTACGAACTATCGCAATGCGCCAGCAAGCAGTGGCTCCACTTCAAAACCTTGAAAGGATTCAGACAAACGAGCTTTATCTCGCTGGCCGTCCACCAAAGAGAAAGTACGTGAAGGGGTCTGTCTCTGCAGATCCATTTTCAGAAGTCTTCAACTCTATTGCCGGTATTGCAACATCCGTGCTTCCCTTTCTTCTTGTCCGGGAGACTGGGGAAAGAGTATCCCTCAAAGGCCTGAGGCGATTCGACGATCCGCATGCTATTTCGGACAAACATGGATACTCAAGCATCTCAGCTATGGTGAAAGACGGAGCGGGATTGCTCAGTATTGACATCGAAGCTGCGGCCGCAGATGTTTCGCTGACACCCAACGACGACTACGATCCGGCATTCAGTGAGCTACCAGAAGAAATTGCCTTAATAGGGCTTTCAAATGCAAGATCATAATGTGAAGCAACTTGACAGAATGAGTATGTATGCGAAGTGTATGGGGGAATGTGCGGGGCGATAGTGCGGGTTTGAATCCCAGGTTATGTCTTGAAAAAAAAGGAGAAGTGAAAAATTTATAACATCCCTATGCTTTTTTTGCCTAGGACATCAAGGTGGTAGACGCGTCGACGGTGTCGTATTACCCTCGAATGCAAAGAGAAAGTTTGATGTAGCCAATCAATGGAAAAAACAACAACATTTCCATCAGTTCTAATAACATGCATGATGAGCTAGGCAAAAATGCATAGCGTAGGGCGCGGAGCTTCCAAGCTCTCTCGTTCCGTGTTTGTTTGTGCCATCGGCATGCCTGGCGCTAACCCGTACCTGTCCCGTACCGTTCCATCAAGGACAGCATCGGCATGCCTGGTGCTATCCCATGCCTGTCTCAGCGGCGTACCGTACGATCTAGGACAGCATCGGCATGCCTGGCGCTATCCCGTACCTGTCCCGTACCGTACCTTCAAAGACAGCTGGCCACAATATTCAAATAGGGCTTTCAAATGCAAGATCATAACGTATAGCAACTTGGAAGAATGAGTATGTATGCGAAGTGTATTGGGGGAATGCATGCAGGGCGATAGTGCGGGTTCGAATCCTAGGTTATGTCTTAAAAAAAAAAGGAGACATGAAACATTTATAACATCCCTATGCTTTTTTTGCATAGGTCATCAAGGCGGTAGACGGTGTCGTATTACCCTCGAATGCAAAGAGAAAGTTTACTCTCGCTAGGCAAAAAGGCATAGCGTAGGGCCCTGAGCTACCAAGCTCTCTCATTTCCATGTCTACTGTTGTGTTTTTCTCCATTTCTGACACAGCTGGTCTTGAGGAGAAGAGGGTGGAGGTACTGGTAAGTCTCAGTCTTGTGCAAGTAGTAATATAGTATGGCATGTACCATTAGTGATGTTTTATTGCCAAACTGAGACTAGTTCTCTGTGTGTTCTGGAGTGTTAGCATCACTTTAATAACGCGTACCAGGAAAATCACCACTGCGGCTTAGACTTCGAATGTTGGCCAGCATATAATGCATGTACTGTTGCTGGTATCATTCAACTGCTTTTCATGCACGTGCACTGCAATGCATCATTGCACTAGCTTGAAGCTTCTATGTGTTGTCAGTTCCGAGTGAAGGACAACGTAGGAAACTTTTGCTAGAACTTCTAACTTTACTAATGCACCCACCCTGAATTACGGAAAGAGGACTCTCGTTTCCGGCCATAGAAGTGGACGTCGTATGGCCTGGTGCGACTGAAGTCGTGCGGGGTTCACTCTGTTTCTGCAACATTGGGATTGCGTCGCATTTGACTTGTACGGTGAGCCATGTGAACTGCAGTGCCCAGCGCTGCAGCCAGCACGAACAACATGGAATATACCTTCACCAAGCCGCTGTTGCTTCACTGCAAGAGTTTCTGCGTACTGGTGTGTGTATAACCCCAGTACAGACCACCCCGGCGCACACTTGCGGTCACCCTGCCTCCGCATCCCTTCTAGCTATAAGCAGCAGGGGTGTCGGGGGTGCCGGGGTTGTCAGGGGTTGTCAGGGGCAACGTCGGAAGGTATTTTAGGGTGGTACGGTCATCCACCTTAGGCACAATTTACTCGTGGGGTTGGGGTGGCTTCTCTGAATTTTTTTGAAGATTAGAGCCCAAATCAGTGCTTTTCATTGATTCACGGGGTAGCTGGGGCAAAGAGTGGTACGGTCAATTCCGTAGTGACCGTAGCGTGTCCGGCGCCCCTGAGCACTAAGAAAACGTGTGTGTGCGTGTGTGTGGGTGTGTTTGTGTACACTCAGGAGCGCCTAGAGAAAGTTTTGAAGCAGCTACGCGAGGAAGAGCTGAACATGCATCCCAACTCTGATGCCACTGACAAGCTGAGCGTTGATGAGGCCCTGGAATCCACCAAAGAGCTCAGTGATACCGACCTGTCCGAGGTATTGAAGGCAGATGATGTTGCTGAAAAAGCTGCCGACACTAGCACTGCTGAAGCAAAGCCAGGTGCAAAGGCGGAGGAAACTTTCAAGATCAAGGACTTTGAGGATGGTGGCAAATATTGGCAGTCTATTGCTGCCACCACCGAAGCACCCGCAACAACTGAAGCTGCTGAAGTTGCCAGCCATGTGGCCGCTGCTGATGCTGATGATGCCACAGAGAATGAGCAGCGAAAGGCTTTCGTCAACGTGCTGACAGACACTATTTTTGAGCGTCTCAAGGCCGGCCAGGTAGCCTTCCCGAGAACACTCGGTGACCGTATTAGCCACCCTAGTGTGAACGCTGGCAATCCAGGAAACGTCGAACAGATTCCCGCACAATCAGCTGTAGGCAAGCCCGTTCACGCCAGTGTGCACAAGGACATGACACCAGTTGCATCGCAAACACACAAGCAGGAATCCAAGCAGGATATGGTGGCAGCTCATGAGAAGTTCATCCAAATGCTCACTCAGTCCATTTACAAGCGCATCATGGCCGAACAGGCCCTCAACAAAGCCGACCATTCTAGTGACGCCGCCGAGCAAAGCAGCAAAGTCAACGTTGCTGCACCAGCCCCGAGCAAGCAGCAGCAGCAGCAGCAGCTAATGGATGCTGACTCCATGCAGCAGCAACAGCAGGCTGTCAATGTTGCTGAGGCGGATCAGAAGACCGTGTCGGCCCATGACCAGGATACTCAAGACTTGCTGGCTGATCTCACATGGTGAGAACTGCAGATGAAGTATCGCTGAGGCTCGTGCAAGTACATGTAGCTGTGAAGGAGAGCCATCCCAGCTTAGAAACAGATTCACTGACTGATTCTTTCGCTTGTCTCAGGGTTGATGGATATCTTGCCCTGCGCCTCCAGTTACAGTGTGCCGGTGTTGCAAGGTAATTCAACACGCTGCTATTCAGGCAACGTATCGCATTACTTTCATCAGCAGGTTCCTTTCGATTTCTCTCGATTTCTTTAGTTCTACTTCCAGCTTTGAGTTGGTTTCAGATACCTTTGGAGTATTTGTGCATGTTGCTGCTGCTGCTGCTCTCTGTGTATATTTGTGCATGTTGCTGCTGCTGCTGCTCTCTGTGTTTCACAGCTTTGTGACCCTTTTAGACACCTGTTGTAATTGCTCTTTTCAGTTTTCTACCACTGCATTGCATGAAGGTAATAAAAAAATTAAAATTAAAAGACAATGAACTCGGATGGAGAGCCAAGGATTATTAATTAAAAAGATATTCGTTTGTTTTGAGGGAAAGAAACGGGAACCGTCTAAAGAAAATACTGACTGTCACCACCAGGACTCGAACCAGGGACCTTCGCTTGAGGCCAGCGATGCTCTAACCACTGAGCGAAAGAAGAAGATCAACATATTCTCCCGCCAGGCTGTTGTCACCTCATCAGCTGTTGCAAATTTGAATACTTAGTATTGTTGTGCTCAAGGCTTGCAATGGCAAACACGAGATAATCTCAGATACTTATTATTTTTAAATTATGAACCGGCCCTGTACCTGGGGAGAACTAGAGCGGACAGCCGGGAGTGAAGCTCGCATTGCTTCACATTTCATCTGCCCATCACCGTTGTCTTCCTGCTCTCACTAGCACACTAGAGAGGTTATTAAGACGCACGTTATTTCTGACTTGACGCACAATTTCACGTCAAATTTGGCGTAAAACTCCAAATTTCAACATGAGCTGCAGGTCACTCGCATTGTTTTTAAACGCGCGAGCTGAACTTCCGCGTCACGTCAGAAATAACGTGCGTCTTAGCCTCTCTAATACCATAATTATTATGACCTTGTATGCCAACGGCATCTCCGCTTTATGTTTGTGTATGCTATTCCTGATCTCCTCTGAAGATGAGTATGTGATGGCAGGCTCACCTTCAGCTCACCTGCAAAGTATGCCGCTACTAGTGCCAGTAGATACTGTACAAGCAGAAATATTCGTCTGGAATTTAATTTCGTCTTTTTCGTCCAAGGAGCTGTTGGACTAAATTAAATGCCGGACTAATATTGATTTGTCCAGCTTTTCAATACACTCTTATGATCCATGGACGAAATTTACAACCGGACGAACTCCCTTTCTTTGGAGTTGGACGAAATTATTGACCGACGAAATTTTCTGCTTATACAGTAGGTGGCAGTCTGTTCGGTGCATGGGCGAAGTGCATGCAGCAGTGCCAGGGACAGGAGGATCATCTAGCCTTCTAGGAGAGCAGCCATGCATGATGCTCAAACCTGTCTGATGGGGCTGGCAAACCAACCATGCCAAACTGGACAGAACATGGCACAGGCACGGTGTGACCATTTGACGCCCATCGCCGGAGGCGAAGATAGCGATGCTACAGAAGAAGCCATAGCAACTTGTGCTGGGATTGCATCATTCAACAGCTTGCAAGGCTGAAGAATTGACTGCCACTATTCAGCCTGGTCTACACCACACAGCTATCAAGTGGCTTTTTCTGGCCAGTAAATCCCTACTTGGTGTGACACACACATACACACCACCAGCATTCACTGACTCAGCAGAATGATTGAAGAGCTACAGGAGAATGAGAAGGAGAATCGTTGGAAATTGAACCTGCAATGTACCTCTCGATTGGAAATTGACTGCACATATCACCGCATCATACGGTACACTCACCCACCCACATCCACCCAGACCCACACTCACGCACAGGAACTCGCCGGGTCTGCACTGCGCCTGAACACATTGTTCTGGCTACATTCCGGTCCTTAGCAAGACAAAGCTAAGTAGGAGAAAGAGAAAGAGGGAGGGAGAGAGAAAATAGAACCGTCCTGCAATGAAAACTACAACCTATGGCACTCTTGCTCGGTGCCTAACAGTTAGCGGCGCAGCGGCCTCTGGCAGGTAGAACAACGGCGAAACTCACAATCTCCTTAGCAGCCTGATCTGGCACACCAGTCTCTAGTCTAAGCTAGGCAGAATTATAAATAGCGCTTGGAGAATCGCCGCCGCCTTCAAGAGTCGGAGTAGAGGTGGGAAACCTGTTCTGGCAAACCAATCTCTAGAGCTGGGCATCAATTCGCTTGGTGAGTCGCCAGGGCTTGACATCGATTCGCTTGGTGAGTCGCCAGGGCTGGACATCAATTCGCTTGGTGAATCACCGCCGCCTCAAGAGTTGGAGGAGAGGTGGGGAATCCCCTGGTGTGACCCTGCCGTCTACAGTTCTGGAAGTACACAAGTCATTTCAACAGCCAGTACCAGTACCTGCTACCAGTCCGAGAGAGCGTCCAGTGATTTGTCGCTTGCCGGGGTGCTACCGACGGATTTGAGCGTGTTGACGTGCATGCAGAGCATGCCCCACAGGCCGTCGGCACGGTACTCGATGCCATTGTCCTTGGCCCAGCGGCGCACGACCGGCACAAGGCGCCAGTACTTGTAGCGCGGCAGCGTCGGGAAGAGATGATGCTCCAGTTGATACTGCATGCCACCAAACAGCCACTCGGTCACGGGGTCCGGGCACACGATGTCGCGCGTCGTTTCAAATTGGTTCTTGACGAAGCTGGGCTCATGAGACGTCTTCATGTCCTCGCTTTCATGCGACAGTGTTACAACAATGGCAACCAGAAAGCCGCTGATTAAAATAGACATAATTGACACACTCAATGGTAAGCATAGCAGCCAGATATAGTTTATGGACATGCGTGCCATCTCGAACTTGTCGCCACCAGCCCATATCCGCTGTACTGACTGTATCCTCCAGGATACGTACAGCAACGAGTAAAGCATGAGGAAGTAGATGTGTTGGAACGGGCGCATGGCAGTGTCCATGGACTTCGGCGGGGCCCATAGGAACAGGAACGGCCGGTTGTCAATGTCCGGGTCGATGCCCACGTGGTTGGTCAGTACGTGGTGGGTGTTGTGTTTCTCTGACCACCAGCCATCATCCAGGCCGGCTACCACAGCACTCAGCCAGGGCCCAACCTTGTCACAGTATGCTGAGTTTCTTGAATGGCACATATCGTGGCCCAGCCAGCCGGACTGCTGCATGGCCAAGCCCAACAAAACTGCGGACAAGACGGGACATTGCCATGCCAGGCATGTGCCAACAATTACCAACACAGCGATAGTGCTGATCAATCGAAACTCGTGCAGGAAGCTGCGTTCAAACCATCCTTCCCGCTCCAGACGATCACGAAGTTCATGATACGCCTTATCCAGATCACTGCATTCCGCTCCTCTGGGTACGGGCATGGCTTTTACAGCAACTGATTGAGCGGCTTGTAGCTTGGTAAGGCGCTTGCAGGCATCCTTGCTGTGCAAGGCGAAGAAGGCATCTGTGGCGTCCTTGCCATCGAATCTTTTCAAAATTTTCTCACCACCTGGATGAGAAGGACCCCACTTGGACAGGTCCAGCCACGCTCCGTCAATGTAGAGCCGCATGTCCGGGTGAGAAGATTAGATGACCTCTGGAGGTCTTGGGCTTTCCGAAGTCCAGGTTTCCGCCCAACTGAGGAACCAAATTGTGAGGTCCTCAACAAAGTAACTTTTAGTTACTACTGTAGTACTTGTGGCAGCAGCCGAACACACCACACACGTACACACACACACAACGGCCAGAAATCCGTGGTTGCGAAACGTCAAGGTATGGCGCGATACCTTCGAAGATGACTGTATTTTTTTGGCCGGAAAATCCCTTTGAATCAGGCCATTCGATATTCAGGGAGTAGATCTACGGTAGTAAAAATACAAACCTGTACATTGAATCTGATTATTGTACTTTTGTGTAGTACCGGTGCATTCAGTAGATCAGTACCGTGCACTGCACGTGTTCGTAGACGTGTGCATGAGCTCGACATGACATACAGCTGTCTGTGGCAGTACAGTACAGTGTGGGATCGATCATGTGAACCACACGCACAACTGCTATGTAGCTGTGGCCAGTGTAGGACCATGAGGACTGACCTGTCCTCCTGACCACAAAGACTCGTCACAAGCAAGAGGCCATTCCCCCTGGCCTGGTAGATCTACATGGTATGGGAGGTTATGGACTCTTGCTGCAAGATGTGACAAGAGGCAGCAGCGCAGTGGTCATGTAGCCATCTCGTCTAGACGCCGCCGCACTCAAGGTGTTTTGGATGTCCTCGGGCTCTACAGCAGTGCAGGGCCTTGGGACCCAATAGCTCGTTGATTCACATTCACAGGTGGTGAAGGCATATCTTTCTGACTCAATGATGGACGTGCAGTGTGTAGTATAGTAGGCTTATAGATCTTGGCAGTGGCTCCACATGGTGCCAATAGTGAGAGGAACGCGATGTACACTGGTACCTACCTTGAGTATACTCCTCTTGCTGGTAACAAGAGTGTATAAGCTCCCAAGAGTGTGTGCTCTTAGTCTTTAGACTCTAGTACTCTTCAAGTCTTGCTGGTACATATCATACAAGCCATGCATGCACGGCCGGCCATAACCATGATAGCAATTCAAGGAAATAAGTATGGTGTGGCTTGCCAAGGAACACGACACAGTCAGGCAGCATAGCCATAGCCACTTGCTGGGTTGTCCAGTTAGCCAAAAATACAACAAGAAGAGCAGGAACAAAAGAAGACAAGCGTGACGGGCAATAAACAACAGCTAGGAACCTAGGCGAGACAGATCAACAGTACATGGAGAAGATGCGGCCATTCATGTACAAGGCTGATGAATGGTGGAACATCCATGATAGAGCTGCGGATGATTGTAATGCCTTCCACTATTGTGACAGGCAACGAAGTAGCGGACATGAGTGTGCAAGAATAGGAGAGCTGCGGCTCTCGCACAACGAAAGCACAAATAGATCAAAACAAAATCAAGCAAAAGCCTCAGCTGCACAGCCGGAGACGAAGTGCGCAGAGAAGAACAAAGCCAAGCGGTGCATCGTCTAAGCATGTTAAAAACAAGACAATGAGAAAAAACTGCTGTGATGAATATGCACAAATTGCCGTCGAGATATTCACAAGCATTTGCAGGTCATTCACACACACGGGAACTGCTTGAGACCAGCCAAGCATGGGTCAACAGTCTGTATAAAAATCCGATATCACGTGAGCACAGGAAGAAAAATATGGCAACAGGCAAGATATTTGCACGTCAAGCGAGCCGTTCGAAGAATTCAGTTTTATGGCAGGATCGGTGGACCAAACATGCATGTGGGATGTGGCATGAAGGGCAGAAGCATACCCTGTATGATCAATCAAGTTGTTCCTAACCGGTCAGCCCTGACTGGCAACTTTGAACAACTGTAGTAGTGTGTTTGTCTGGTTGCATAGAGAGTTGGCGCTGGCAAACACATAATTAGCCCTGGTCGAAGAAAGAACGCACACATTGAAACGAGCAGAATTAGTTTTTCGAGTTTATGGGTAAATCAAGCACAATACTAGAAGTTGAACGGCTGCCTGTCATGGTATCACCAAGAGTGTGCAACTGGCATTGATCCAGCGCTTGGCAAAATTCCTACATTACGTCATGCACATCGCATTATCCGAGGTACATTTTGCTTCCCTGCGACTTCTACAGACTAGGAACCGCTACAAACTCCAGGCTGAAGCCCGCAACATCGACAGCACATCATCAAAGAAATACTCGACTACATACACACACACACACACACACACACACACACACACACACACACACACACACACACACACACACACACACTCTCTCTCTCTCTCTCTCTCTCTCTCTCCTTTTCTCTCTCTCTCCTTTTCTCTCTCTCTCCTTTTCTCTCTCTCTCCTTTTCTCTCTCTCTCCTTTTCTCTCTCTCTCCTTTTCTCTCTCTCTCCTTTTCTCTCTCTCTCTCTCTCTCTCTCTCTCTCTCTCTCTCTCTCTCTCTCTCTCTCTCTCTCTCTCTCTCTCTCTCTCTCTCTCTCTCTCTCTCTCTCTCTCTCTCTCTCTCTCTCACACACACACACACATACACACACACACACGTTCATGCCTTTCACAGAATCTCAAGTATTAATGCTCACCGTGAGTCTTTGAAGAATTTTTTCAGCGTGTCACTAAAACTTTTGGATGTTTTCACAAAAAGCTTCTTTTCATGATCTAACGCCTGCAGAGTGGGACAGGAAAAGGACAGCAACGTGACAGATAAGATCAAAATAAGGTTAAAGAAATAGCATTCATTAAATCTACACAGGAGGGTCCAATTCATTCACCACTGAGAGAGAGAGAGAGAGAGAGAGAGAGAGAGAGAGAGAGAGAGAGAGAGAGAGAGAGAGAGAGAGACGATTTACGCACATCAAGGATACATTCCTTGGAGAAGGGCAACTCACTTTCTTGTACTTTGGCATAGATGCCAGCTGGCCGTGTGCCTTTGACACTGAATTGATGGCTTCCAGGACATCACGGATTGCTCCAGCAATATCCCTACAAAGGATCAAAATAGATCAGAGATGTGAGACAGAGTTGCAGCAAATTTGCATATACAAATTTACAAACATGCTTGTTGATGTCAGAGACATCAACAAGCATGTTTGTAAATTTGTAACGAAGACAGGGGAGTAACTAAGCCATGCATGTAAAATATACTGGTGCTGTAGTTGCACCACGTGACAAGCTAGTTTTCCACGGCTATCTGCAACTAGGCTGCAAGCATAGATTGTATTGCCTCATGCATGCTTTTGCTTGCTGAATGCATGCCATGCATGTACGGTGTCACGATGTTGAGCTCAGCGAGAACCGCACAGAACCCGCACTAACACGAACACGTTACCGGCATACGCCAGCAAGCATAATACTTGTTTGCATTGACATCTCCGGGTTCGCTTCGAGCTCTAGTAGCAGCAGTAGCAGCACATTCACGATCTATGAATAACCTCCATACAGCTAGACCTGGTTCACTGGTACATCATGTTCTCTTGTCATCACTCAACCAATGAAAGGTGAGCTAAAGCGGATTGACAGCAAACGGTGTGGAGTGTCGTGCAACATGTTCTCGTTTATCCATTCCCTCGGCTATCTGGATATTTTAGTGAGCAAGCATGTGCGGCTAAGCGAGGTTTGACTGTACCCAAAAATTTGCACAGGAAAGCAATATAAAATCAAGGATCACAACCATAGTCAAGGTGGCAATCAAGCACGGTTCATCAAGAAGACACAGGTACAAAAGAGACCGCACCACTAGTACCGACTAATAGCACAATCATGCAGCTTACTTGATAGTCTGCAGAAAGACAGAACGATCGCTGATCTCCTGAGGTATCCGACTTAGAATAGTCTTCAGATCTGGTCAGAAAACACAACAGCAGCAAAGTCATGAACATGATGAGCGCAAGGCTGTTGAAAGGGCACTAGCATCTTACCTTGCGAAAGTGAGACACACTCTTAGAGTGCGAAGGCCCACACACCGCTTGTAACAGGACCAGGGACGGGGAGAGATTTGAAAAGAGCAAAAAACACCCCTCCCTACTCATACCACTACACGGGTGCAAATACTGTAAAACATGTTATTTTAGGTGTATTAAAATTTCGGTACCAGGGACCTGCCAGGTTTCAGGTGTAATGTAGAATTAGGTGACCAGCAATCCCTTCACATACAGACTCAGTGCATGCTCTAGTGCCTTTTAGGCATTATCTAAGGTTGCGTTTGGTTGGTCATTTTCAGAATGTAAATGACAACCATTCGGGAATGGGAATCGGCAAGAATCACCTGACCAAACTAACGCGCCAGAATCAATTAGGAATCACTTGATATAACAATTCCATGATGTCTTTGTGGAACGGCGGCTGTCTTTTCTTTTACCCGACTCTAGTTTCCTTGAGAGAGTCATGGTACTTCTGAGTGCATGATTTGAGGCACTTGAACATTGTTTGGCTCGTGGCAGCCATTATCATTTTTGATTCCGGAATGAGAATGCTCATGCCAGCATGTGAGGTGGAATGATCATTCTCCAAAAAGAATCATTCTCAGCGATTCCCATTCTGGAATCATGTGGAATGTGACCAACCTAACGCACTTTTTTGACCAACCAAACGGGCGAGAATGATTCCGAGTGATTCCAAGTGATTCCCATTTGGGAATGTGACCAACCAAACGTAACCTAAATTTAGGTATCTGGTTTCTCTACCTAAATCACCGAAATTAAAGTTACACCGAAAATAACATGTTTTACAGTAGCGATTGAAGAAAACGCAACCAGCTCATTCTTCCTGCTTTTGAGTGCAAAAGAATCAAGCTACATGTACATGTATATCGCATCACAAGATGTACAATATACTCCCACGCAAGCAAATACAAGACAGCTATGTCTACACGATCATATCACTGTCTCTATAGCACGCAAAGGATGGTGTAACTGCGTGCCATGTACACAGGTGAACTCACGTGAAGCTCGGTCGCACAGCAGCTTGAATTCCACTTCGCTACGATTTATCGCATAGTCTACAGGAACAGTATGTAAGTGCAGATGAACACACAGTGCATCAGGGATCATCATAAAACGGAATATCAATACAAGTACATGTATATTATGAATAAGATGTTGCCGTGAGCGGTAATCCTTTTCCATTCCAGCCAGTAGCTGCACTAATGAGGCTTTACCTGCCAATGCAGCTAGCCTGCAGCATTGAGCAGCGGCGGATCCAGCGATCTCTACAGGGGGGTTCCAGTATAGTCAAAACTGAATAGCCGATACATGTACATGGACACTCATATGGTTGCCAGTAGTACGTTTAGGAAATTCAGGTGGTTCCGCAGAACGGTGAACCCCTCCTGGATCCACCCCTGTTGAGTGCAACAGAAACGGTATCGAATTCAAAACAAGACACAGGATATTAAAAATCACTGTACCGTGTAACGCATTTAGGGCCATTCACCAATTGCCTAGGTGTATCTATTACTTCAAGTACTGTATGCAACACACATAATTATAAAAAGCATGACTTGAAACAAGCATCAACAATATCCAACAATATCCTTGTCAGTTGTGTGCCTTGTTGTCGCACTATCTGACTATATAATACCTCGTTACCTTGGTGGACTGTTAGTCGTAACTCGTAACTTATTGGTTTAAAAGTTTTTAACACAGGGTCATCTTGAACACAGCCTTCTGCAGCCATGGTAATAGGAATAGGCTCAGAGTAAATATCAGAGCAGGTAAAACTGGAAACTGGGTCGTACCCGGACACGGCTTGGCAGCAAGGGACAACACCGACCGCGTCACGTCAATACCAGGTTCTGCAGTAGGAAAACACACACGCACACACATTGAACCTTCTTTACCGATACCCGAACCGTGGGAAACAATGCTGGCATTCGGGTACCCGAACATGAAAAACATGGAACCGTTTCACCCCTACCTGAAACGAACATCATTCATTTGGGGGGGGGGGGGGGGGGGGGGCGAACCAAAAACGCAAGTCGACCGACACTGTACATACATGCAATTTTCGTCGTCCAGCATAGCAAGTCCAGCATAGCAAGTCCAGCATAGCAAGTCCAGCATAGCAAGTCCAGCATAGCAAGTCCAGCATAGCAAGTCCAGCATAGCAAGTCCAGCATAGCAACTTGCGTTCATTTCAGAGGGAGGGGTACGAAATGAACGATGTTCGCTTCAGGGACGACAACAAACTTTTACGACGAGCCCTTAATATTAAACAGCGCAATAACGTACTAGAGACAAGACGAATGCTGACCTGTCAAAATATCCCTGGATAGACATATAGGCCCCTGCACCATCTCTCTACTGACCTTGTTGACATGCACCGGACACGAACGACTGTGCAAAGCCCATGTTCTGCTTCTCGACCTGCAGGCAAGTGCACATATAAAGCATCCGGGTACAGACACACACACACACACACACACACACACACACACACACACACACACACACACACACACACACACACACACACACACACACACACACAGACACACACTCCATCTACATCATGTCGGCAATTGGAACGTGAAATGATGTGTTTCGCTCCCAGGCTGCCCGTTCCAGTCGCCCTTGGGGCAGGGCCGATGTATGCATACTAGTACTCACATTATGACATCACTGGTCTGGGCCGTGCTTAGGGTCAGCGGGTCACAGCTGTGACCGCGAATTTCATAGAACATGGATCATGCAGAACTCCCAAATCCTTGGGTCACAACATCGTTGTGGGTACTATGATCTCGGGTGGTCTCCCTAGGTACTACGGCCCACTGATAATTACATACAACGTAATTGCATGTACTGTAAAAGCCATTATTCTAACGAGGCGCATATATAACGATTTCCCAAAATTGACTAGTTTACGTGTACCAAAGGTAACGATTCTCACTCATTCTCATTGCTCAATAGGACAGTGTATGTATCGATTTCTGTATAACGATTTCTATTTTAACGACAGATTTCTCCTCGTTAACTCGTTATAGTTAGCACTTCGTTATAATGGCTTTTACAGTATACGGTTTGGGGCGTAGTACAATCATGCAGTTGTCGCACTATCTGACCATCTACTATCTAATCACAGTGGTGGTCAGTTACTCATAACTCATATCCATGTGTCCCTTTCCTTTTACATTAAATTTTTTACTATTGACTCACTGATTATTATAATTATCGCAAAGTGCTACCCACGTGTAAATTATTGCTCACGTCATTTATAATAGGCATTTCAGAACTTTGCTTTCTAATCCTACCTTGTTGAAGGCATCTTTCAAGGCACTGGTTACGTCTTTGCCTTCCTTCTCATTCAGCTACGAAAAGAGCAGCGCAACGAGATATAGAGCAGGTCAGCAACAATCGCAAATTCTATCGAGCACATTTCTTCTGCTCCATACCTCGTCAAGAAAAGGGAATATAACATGCTGGAGAGACAGCGATGCCGTCGGGCAATCCATCATGGTGTTACTGCATCTGCTTTCAATCTAAAAATCTGGAAATTCGCCTCAGAAAAGAATACTAGTATTCGAAACGCACTGGAACGCCAACCTGCAGACACGGTCGAATGGAAACAGTCACATAGGTGCAGCGCCACCCGTGTTTACTATAACACACTGTTGTTTGGACAGTAAACAGGTCAGTACAATGAAAGTCACCTGAAATGACAGCGATCGATCGACCTGACACTTCACAGAAGTAGCAAATGTTTAGCTAGCTGTTGACTGTTGTTACTTTTCAGCCTAATTCAGGACTTGCCAGATGTTGTACAGACTCCGTGTTCGAAACTGTACCAGGCTCATTAGTACCAGATTACTATTCAGACATTACCATACATGATTGTCATCATGATACCAAACCTACGAGTACAAAAATTGCGCGAGGAGGCGGAGAAGGAAGCTAGCCGTTCGTAAATATACGACTAACGCTCATCTCAGTACATACCAGATGACATTCAGTAAAATGAGTTGAATCTGATTTTGCAGACAGAACCATCTATTCTTGTCACTCAAAAAAAGGGAACGTCTGGCACCATACTACATGTACCTGTGTCCTCACTTCACTGGATGTAATACCGACCGGACTGTACTGCACACTGGTCGATGAACCGGTACGGTACGCCTGCACGTGGCCGGATATTGCATACTAGTACATGTACATGTCTGTACAAGACAGTGTGCAGTAGTGGTGCAGCTCTGGTAAAAAAAAAAACAGTAGGAAAGCGGCGCCATTCACGTCAGTCCATTATCAGTGTTTGTGCGAAGAAGTGGTGTAATCTGGGAGGGAGCTTTTCTTGTGCTTGAGCCAAGTCGAGGCCTCAAGGCATAGTGCTGTGTCGCCATGGATCCTTCTTGGATAACAGCAGAGGTCGCACGCCTTTTACCCGTGGATATGGACAAGAGTCTACCTCCTGTTGGTAAGATCTCACATCTCGGACTATTATTTTATGCAACATTTTGAGTGAACATATACATATACCAGGTACTGGTATTACGTAGTACATGTAGTATCGAGCGCTGTGTACTTTTACCAAGACTGCCAGAGTTCATTGTACTGTTGCGTGTACGAGGAAATACCGCCGTTCGTTTCCGGCGGAGATCGTTTGCCCTCCAACTGTTTTCTTTACTTCTTGAATTCACTCATCATTATTAGACATGTATTCATAGCCATTGAAGAAAGAACACTTGACTGCTGAGCACGGCCCAGCACTTTACCGCAAAGTAAATAATAAATAAGTGCATGTACATAAATGGACTGTAGTGCAAGTGGTGTACCTTACACGTACATGCACATGACCATGTATGACATAATTATGTGTATGTACTAGTTGTACACATACATGTACAATCATACCAAGAGTACGACATAACCCCCCAGAGTGTGCAACGCCTGATCCAGCTCTGCATAGGGTCTTGGTCGAGCGGAATCGGATCTTTGCGTCATAATACCGTACAAATCTGAGGGGAACCCGGGGAGTCGCGGGTACTCTTGGATCAAAAACAATGGTGCCCTGCCTCGAGACCGGCCTTGCACTGGTGTGGAGTGTACGCATGACATCAGAAGATCCGATTCCGCTCGACCAAGACCCTATGCAGAGCTGGATCGGCGTTGCACACTCTGGGGGGTTATGTACTCTTGATCATACCGGTATAGTGCAAGCCTTGCCTGATAAGTACCATGTTTTCACGGTGACAGCGTGAACAAGGAAGACCGAGACTCTACCAACCGGTTTATGGTTGTAGTCAGGAGATGAACTGTACATGTATGAGGATTTCAGACTTTTAAGGAAATAAGGTCCGGCTGGACCAGGTGTTACGGCCCTACAAATGAAATTCAGCTTCATGAATACAACCACTGCAGCTTGACCCTGCAGATTGTTGGGCCGCAGCAAAGTTGATACAGTTATAAAGGGGAAGTTAAGCCTAAAATCAAGTTTTCACCAGTTGTAGTCTTCGGGGAGCTGAGTCGAATGGTCTTGGTCCGAGGAAGCGGAGACGCTCCCTTCCTCCTTTATTCCCAATCGAACTCGTCACTTCTGAAACACTACTAGTGTGTGTTTTACCTTCTCCCCTTCGCCCCCGCCCCACAGCAACGCAAACTCTTAATGGTGTGTCTCAATTCTTATTAGAGAGGTTCCGCATAACGTAATTACGTTAGTAAAAACGTAGTCGATCTACGGAAAGTCTTACGTAAACTGCATGCGTATCTGTGTTCCGCCATACGGAGTTTTCAAATCACGTAGCTGCCCTTGGCGACTCCGAACGCGGCAGTGTACGACCAGATCGACCTGGGGAGAGAGTCATAAATTTGTACCCCAATCCACTTACGGACCAGCTACGTTATCAGAGCCCTATCTACGTACTCTACGTAGACAACTTTCCATAAGTGGAGTGCAAACTCGCGAATTCACAGGTTTTCCCGCCCACTAACGTAAAGTTGCTCAACTTTACGTGTTGCGGAACCTCTCTAAGGCTGTGTTTACATGAGAAATTTCAACCCGGGTCAAGTTCAGCCCGGGTTGAAAGTCTGTACGATAAAAATAGGTGAGCGTTTGGTCAAATACTGATATGCCGCCAAAAGTCCACTTCTAGAGTCCTGTTTGGTCACGTGAATACTTTCGCTCGAAATTTGCATGTGCAGTGCTATTCAAACCTGGCGCGAGATACGCACAGAAGTACGTTTGTATGATTTTCTCGCCCCGGGTTGATTTCAACCCTCCCCCCAAGGGGAGGGTTGAGGGTTGAAATCAACCCGGGGCGAAATTTCAACCCGGGTCAAGCGCAATGCGTCATGTAAACGCGCCATTCATTTTGTGTACACGGCGGGTCGAACTCAACCCGGGTTGAAACGCCTCATGTAAACACAGCCTAATAACAACAAATGACGAGGGCGCAGGAGGAGAAAGGAAATGCAAGACTAAACAACCAAACAAACGACCAGTAGGACCATTGATTTTGGCGTACCCATTACTAACATGACACAGAACAGAATTGAGGGTAACCACAGTGCCAAAAATTAGACTTGTTCAAGACTATCTTCAGCTTGCTCGCTCGTTTTTTTTGGTCTACTGCTCCGTATCGTACAAGTTTTTTTGCAAATTTTCTCAACTGACTGGCTCCATTGGAAAGTCTTTCGGAGAATGTTTTGGCATGGACCTCGTGAACATAACCATTTACTGCACCCATCCATCGGCGATGTAGCTGCCATGGGGTTTCTCTCACTTTCATTCGGGTAAAAGTCAGTTAGATTGAGAATTGTTCTCAAGGAAAAGTTCGCAAAAATCATTGCCAGTAAAAATATCAGAAAACGGGTTGTGAACGGGAGAAGCTAATCCTAAATCACGCCGTGTTTCACTTGCATTCCGAGCAACTCGTTCCCGTTGACATATCACGGCTTGCTAGTGGTCCCCACTCTCCCACAGACGGGAGCAGATTCTCACACTCTGACAACGCGTACTCTTGCATACACCACATACCATAAGCGTCACACATCACCCCATACTCACACGTACACTTAGACCATATATGACATCAGATATTGGACTCTACAGGACAAGAACCAAATACAACGTGCGCAAATAATACTCGAACGGAATTTTGCAACACTTCCACCAAAACTGGGTGACTGCGGCCACTGCGCCCTACTACAATTTTGTAGATGGGGATTTGTATGCAAAATGTCACTAAACGCGCCATTTCGTTCTTATAAAAGCACGGATGAACGCGATTGGCCCATGTGTTGTAGTCTTTTGGATGGTGACTCGACTGGTTTTGGTCCGAGAAGGCTGCGATGCAGCGTTCGGCCCTTATTCCCAATCGAACATGGTTGAATAAGCGGTCACGTGCTCATGCGTACCCCAGTCACCTGGTCACCGTGCCTGTCGGGCACAACTTACAGCCTGTTTGGGCGCGTTCCTGTCACGCGAGTTGAACCTTTCAGTTGAACCTTGCGTCCAAAAGTCTACAACATATGGACCAATCGCGTTCATCCGTGCTTTTATAAGAACGAAATGGCGCTTTTAGTGACATTTTTGCTTACAAATCCCCATCTAGTAGGGCGCAGTCACCCAGTTTCGGTGGAAGTGACGAGTTCGATTGGTAGTAAAGGAGGAAGGGGGCGTCTCAGCTTCCTCGGACCAAGACCATTCAACTCAGCACCCCGAAGACTACAAGTACAACTGGTGAAAATTTACTTTCAGGAACAATGTTGCATGAAACGTATTTCAGGGGAGACGCAGCCACATTGCTCAGGTGGCGATTCTCATGGCGCCTCTTTCGGCATGAGACCTTGTACACATCACCCTGAATCTGTCGCAGCTGCAACACAACAGTGACATCCTCAGCTGTCGCTGCTCACTAAAATTTAGTATTCTGTATTTCGATACAGAACGTGGTAGGGATCTGCGGAGTGGCACGGCTCGTGCGCTGTAGGCTAGGCGCTAGTGATGGGTGTGCGGCCAATGGCAGTGTTGGATGCCCGCCACAGTAGAGAAGTTTGTCACCCGGTACTTGTGAACTTTTAAAATTTGAATTGTTCAATGCACTTTTGCAGGTTCAGTGACTTGTTGGCGAGATCTCAAACGTGTGCAGTGATGACTTGCACACTCACTGGCTGGTTCCTCTTTTGAAAGTTTGCTTCCTAATTAATTATTTGGGAAAGGTCGATCTCGGAGCTCCTTACGAATCAACAAACCGCTCTGGCTCCTGTAAACGGGCCCAATCAACAAGACATCAGTGTAAATCCATCCCGAACCCGACCAAAAATGAATCGTTTTGTGTACAGTAAACGAGTTACTGAACCTCTGCCATGTCCTTGTCACACATACAGATGATTATAGCATGTTGGTTGCTTCTTTATTTGTCGACAATTGCAGGGCTGCCACTTGCTCCGATTTTTGATCGCCTGTCGGACAAACCGACCGATTTTGTTCCCAAAGAGGGACAACCAATTATTTTATTTTGAGCGCTTTTTAGTCCAGTTGGCCATTTGGCGCTTCCAGGTCGCGTTTGGCCAGTCATTGTACATGTACATGTAGCTGTAAAATGCACGCGTGCTTGCATGTGTGTGGCCAGTTAAAAATGTGTTCTGGGGCCCCAACAGCAAGCCATTTTCGTAAAAGAATTCACCGGGGGACACCCACAGACCCCCGTCAGATTTTTCTCCCTCCAAGTGTGGCAGCCCTGCAATTGTAACAACCATGCCAAAACAAAGACATCCCATAATGGGATTGAACGTATCCAAGTATGGTGCCTGCATATTTGTGGCAGCTGGCAAAGCACCCTTATTTACAATTGCAGTGCACTCGAGAATAGTTTAGCTTCTTGCTTCACTGTGAAGGACCACTAGTTGAGCTTTTATAGACTGTTTTACAGTTCATTGTGAGGTGAATAGCAGAAATATGGATGGACGGGTAGAATTGTAGATGTCGTCCGGGACTGTGGCTGGAGACGGCCGGACACGTTGTGAAGTATGTCGGCGCTTGTTATGGACTATGGTGTTGCACATAATGGCACAGTAAAGTTTGATGTGTGTGTGTGTGTGTTTGTTTACCCACACTAGTGCCAAGTATTACCTTCACTGGGGGCAGGGGTACCTGCAGTCGGATCCCGGGACGAATACCCTGATGCCGTCAATCCTTTTTCTGCACCTTGTCCTCGCCCACTTACTGAGATGTGGTGAGCCCATAAGTGGGATCATTTCAAATCCACCCTAGTTTGGGGATTTCAGGGGGTGTCGGCCGTTGGGTGGTTCAATGGCCAATTGAAGTCATCTTTCCAAGATTCCTTTTGAGTCTCTCTCCCCTCTCCCGGGGAGACCCACGTGACCAGTTTTGGCAGTGAGCAAGTACAAGTGTGTGTTTAGCTGCTTGTAGCGTACTTCACAAATCTATGTCCTCACCTTTGGCGTCACTCTTATGGCTCCAGCTCCACATCTTTCTATTCCTATGTCCCACTAGCGCACTGACACACAGACAAAGCTCTCCATTTCTCTTCCACAATCCATTTCAACACCTATCACCAGCGCTGCTACTCTCCACACATACACACCTACCTGGCACATTTTGTTTTCCTTCACAGTTTTTCTCATCACTTTCCTACAGCACCTCACAGCACTATCTACTCAGTTTCTTTGTTGTTTTTTTCATTTTAGTTTTAAACTGTTTCACCTGGTGGCGGGCGATGGCCAAAGCGTTGGTGAACCTAAAGTGACGTTTGCAGTGGAAAGACCATGTATGAGTGTCTGGACTGAGAAAAGTATTGTGTAATGGCTACAATGGAGTTGTAAATGCTTAGAAAAGTTGGATTGTCCCTCTAAAAAAAATTTTGTTCAAGCGTTTAATACTAGTACTTACTACCTGGTACTCATGTGGGTGACGATCAGGCTGTCTTTTCCCCCTCCGGCAGGAACACCACCCATGGCTAGTATCAAGGCGCACATGGAGCTCCTAAACAGGCTAAGGTGGTGGTTGTGAATGGATGAGACCCGCCCAAGTGGTCAAGGACGGCCAAACCGTTCCGCTTCCGAGCAGGATTTAAAACTTGGTACCCTGGGCTTCTCAGTTGTTGTCTTTGACTGTCGAGGCTGTTCTGTTTCGCTGTTTACAGCATTCTGTCAGCCTCTCACACTCCATGCCAAGAAATGAATTGTCCCGCTTATGAAGTGTGAAATCTGCCGATGATATTTGCTTCTCGTCATCCTCCCTCCATCTTTCCCTCACTGCCTCTCGTAGCTCTTACAGCGACATGGCAGCTCACTCAACTCTTGTTGAACAACACTGTGTGTGTACATGTGTGCGTGTATATGTGTGTGTGTGTGTGTGCATGTACATGTGTGCGTGTGCACGTCTTCTTCTTTTGTACATTTGTTTGCTCAGACCCTAGAACAGCCGACTGGCCACTGCTGGGTGAAATCTGGCAACCGCTGTCTATAGCCGGTGCCTACTTGGCCATGGTGTTCATCGGGCCCAAGCTGATGGCACCTTTCAAGCCTTTTCAACTGCGAGTGACTTTGGTGATCTACAATCTTTTTCTTACTCTTCTCAGCCTGTACATGTGTGTGGAGGTAAGGATCGCTGCAAAAAAGAAACCCCCTTCAGGAATGTGGGTGGAAACAGATGCGTGTGTGCGTGTTCGGTTTCGCACCCTTGCCTCCGTGCTCTTGCATGTGTTTCCTATGAAGACATGACATTTTTTGTGGCTTTTTCTCATGTACATTTGCGCTGGAATTGCCTGCATTGACCTGCTCACAGTCGTTCATACTTGGACTTAGTCCTGTCTAGAGACTTTTGATCTGTCTTGAGAGTATGACTGTACTGTTTTATTCCCTTCTTGTTCTTTTGCTTTGTTCAGTTCGTTTTATCTGTCATCGATGGTGGTCTGAACTGGGGATGCTCGGCCGTTGACTATGCACCCACCGCAGCAGCCACTCGGGTAAGCTTAGCACTGGGCTTGCAGTGATGCCAGTTATGTACTGTATTTTCCGCAGTATAAGCCGCACTGGAGTATATGCCGCGCCCAGATTTTTTGTCACGAGCCACAGACATCTACCCTTTTACCACCATCATTTTGACCATCGTAGTATAAGTCGTACCGACTTTTTTTTGGGGGTGAATTACTGGTGTTTATCCCCTTTAGGTTGGCACTATGGATAACAGAAGTGCAGGGGCGTAAACTGTCGTCATTCATGTTGCCGTAACTGGTACGATGAATGAGATATGGAAATAGCAAGTAGATATGTGGCGAAAGTAAAGAAAAAACTCTGAACTTTCTGAATACAGTAGAGTCGCACGTCCAAGAATGTTGTTTTCAAGGAGTTAGCCTGGGACGTTCCTATTTTCAGCAATCTGCCTCCGTTCTTATAGCACGTTCTTAGAAACAATCCGTACTGATTATGTATCTCAAATTCTGCCAGGAAACCAACACCGCCGTTGTTAACTTTAGGCTATGGCGTTCTTAGCATTTCAGGCTGGACGTTCTTAGGCTCCACGTTCTTCAGCGCACAGCTCTACTGTGCGGCAGTAAAATAAGGATAGAATGGAGCATTCTTGACCAAAAGTAGAGGCGAAAAAGCTGTAGATCCGGAAACGGGCTAAAATCAATAGTAAAGACTGGCAAGGGCTCACTAGGACCGCTGAAATGCTAACAATCCACACATCAAGGAGCATATGCATGGCATGATGCACTACGGTCACTGCAATGATGAAATCTACCCGTGGGTGAACATTTCAAGGTGGTACTTGTAGAAACAACCATAGGAAGAGCACAATTGAAGTTCAGTAAATGTGTCCTACGGTGCTGGCCAGAGAAATCCCCCTCCTGAACAGCGGTGGGCGACATGCAGCCCTAGCACCTCACATACTGTTCTGTGCACTCGAACATGGTGCTGATATTCATGAGGTCGAATCTTTCTTCTTTTTTTTCTTCTTGGCCGCTTGAGGGCATATGCGCGTGGTTTGGCCGTAATGTGAGTACGCCCTTTACTGCATGCATTTTCTCTCTCTCTCTCTCTCTCTCTCTCTCTCTCTCTCTTTCTGCTTTGTTCAGCTGGCTCGAGTGTGCTGGGTATACTATGTTTCCAAGGTGGTTGAATTCTTTGACACGGTAAGTGATTGTAAACTGGTGTTTCCCTTTTTGCCTTGTGTGTGTGTAGCCCGCAGTCCGTCCTATTTACTTGCTTTTCTATTTGCATCTGTCAAATGATATTTGAACAACTCCCGCTATCGCGTTCCACGAGCATCTCCAGGAGATTTCCACGTTTGTTGTGTGTCAGGTTTTAACTCCACGCCAGGAGATCTGTATTGTGTACATGAATAAGAGAGGGGACCTGATTTGTTTGTGCTGTTCGTTTTGTGCTGGGTTTTCGCAGCTCTTCTTCATTCTGCGTAAGAAACAAGAGCAGATCTCGTTCCTGCACGTCTACCATCACGTCACCATGTTCATATGGTGGTGGCTGGTAACCAAGCGATATGCTGGAGGCAGTGGTGAGTTTGCTGCTCGCTGCACGCGTGCATGTCTACGGGGCAACGTATGGTGCTGAGCACTCTCAGTGTTCATCTAGAGATCGGACAGGACCTCCCCAGAGTGTGCAACTCCTGATGGCGTCCTGTCGCAACTAGTTCTCCGAATTGCGTCGTTTTCACGACATTACCGACTTTCTGCATGCCTACACGGTGTGAGGTGAACTACATGCAATGCAGCTTGTGCACAATTAAGCGGATGGCATCGTGAAGAATGATGTGACCAGCTACGCCACTTGGTACACATCATGATTGTTTCACCCCCATTGTTTATCCCATGCTAATTTTCATCTATGCGCGTGTTCTTGTCGTTGTTGTTGCTGTTCTTGTTCTTGTTCTTGTCGTTGTTCTTGTTGTTTTTGTTGTTCCTATCACTTCAGTCTACTTTGGTGCAATGATGAACAGTGGTGTGCACGTCATAATGTACTTCTACTACATGCTGGCTGCTTTCGGCCCTGCTGTGCGCCCTTACCTCTGGTGGAAGAAGTACCTGACGTCGATTCAAATGGTCAGTACCGCACGCCCCTGGGATTGCTTCGATGTGTGTTGGTGTCTTTGTGTGTGTGTGTGTGTGTGTGTGTGTGTGTGTGTGTGTGTGTATGTGTGTGAACTATAACGTGACATACATACTGTGTTTCGTTGTGTTCTCTCGGTGCAGATGCAGTTCTTGATCGTCATCGGCCACAATCACTATGTGGCCTACAGCGACTGTGGCTTCTCCGTCCCTCTCGCTTACTGCCTGACTGCTTACATGTGGTCGTTATTCGCACTCTTCTATGATTTCTACCGCAAGAGCTACCGGCGGACATCGAAGGAGCGGCCGGATGGCAGCCATGCTGTCTCCGCATCGCAGAACGGTGCCAGTAATGGTGCTGGCAAGAAACATCAATAGTTCCGATCAGCAATGGCTTCCTGCCACTCTACCCTGGAGTGAACTGTTCAACAGTTTGGTCCTAGCATTGCAGCATCTATCTCTATTTGTGTAAGTCGATTTTTGGATGACGTTCATTATTTGAACGTGGATCCCCTTTTCTTCCGGATTCTTTCTATCAGATCTATTTTGGTATTTTATGCAGCTTTGCCTCTGCAGCCGGTTATGCCATGCTCTACGTTGACTTATTTACTTTTCGGAGTTGTGCCGTCCCCTGTTTGGTTCTCGGTGGTGTCGTCACTGCAATGCTGCGCCAGTAGGATATTTTTTCTAGGGGTGCCGTCTTGCTATTTTGAACTAGTTTCCTCTTTTGAAGACGTACAGTATGTTGACTACATGTGTATGTTGCAAGTGTGTAAGTCTCAGCTTGGCGCACAGGCAAGTCTGTTCGAAAGACTTGTCCAGTGTGGTTGAGATGCCAGTTGTGATCTGGAGTTTATCAGATCCCGCTTCCTTGATGACCCTGCCGGGTTCTGTACTCTGCTCTTGATATGACCAAGAGTGCATAGCCCCAAGAGTGTGCAACTGCCTGCACAACCTCTATGCTGTGCTGCGACGGCAGAACTTCACATCACGTGACATGGTTCAAAAGGTTATGCTGGCAAACAGTGCAAAGTGACCACAAGAGAGTTATACCAAGAGTACATAACCCCCCAGAGTGTGCAACTCCCACATACCCTGCTGTCCCGACAGAATTTCAAGTTGACGTCATTATTTATGACGCAATGCTCCTTGCACCAGTGATTTACAACATGTGTACAGGTGTCAACGCATCACACGTTTTTCTTTGCAATAATTTGTACAAGATCGATCTGCTTCGGTCAACCACAGGTTCCGGATTCGTCTGGTAATCCGTGTACAGTGCGCATTGCATCATCAAAATGACGTCAACTTGAAATTCTGTCGGGACAGCACCCATAGTGGAGTTGCACACTCTGGGGGGTTATGTACTCTTGGTTATACCAAGAGTCCATAACCCCCCGGGGGGTTATGGACTCTTGGTTATACCCAAAGCTGGGCTGCATGCAACCCTGTATCTATCATGCACAGAGTGCAAATAATGTGTACGGGTTCATCACGTGATGTGAAGTTCTGCCGTCGCAGACCCCATAGCTGGATTTGCACACTCTTGGGGGTTATGTACTCTTGATATGACCCAAGGGCACCGGGCAGGGACTGCCTGGCCGTGGGGTCATGTACTCTTGATATGACCCAAGGGCACCGGGCAGGACTGCCTGGCCAAGGCTCATGACTCGGCACAGCTCCAGACATTTGTCGTACAGGGCGAAACATCCATATTTGGATGTGCTCTAGGCCCAGACAGATTCTGCTCCGCTCGCCTCGATATTCTGCTGCAAAATGTTGCTGCGAAATCTTCGATATTTTGCCGAGCCTGGCACTGGAAACTCAACATTTTGCTCCGTTTTGCTCTGGAAAAACGTGTATTTTATCCACTTCCCGTACGTTTCATAAAAATCGCAGGGTCGGTTTCTCAACACGGGTTTCCACGCACGTGTCCCTGAGTTCTTCCGAAATCATGTGAATCCCAGTGATATTTCGGTGACATGATCTCGTCCTGGGCAGTGTATCATGCTGAATGGGTAAAAACTAAAAACAAGGAAATCCAAGTATCAGGCATCGATTTTACCCAACATCTCGATATTGTGCTCCGATTTTGCCGGCAATTTCCGCTCTTTGACTTCTTCGATATTTTGCCGAAAGAATTGCCAGCAGGATCTGTCTGGGCCTATAGTGTGCTCCATGTGGTTCGGGGACCATGGAACACTTGGCCGTGGTCTTTTGTTCTGCATGCAGTCTGTATTTGTCCATCAACATAACATGACCACAGAGCAGTTTCGACTTCAATTTTTGTCAGTCAATGTGCTTTTTGGTCGAAGTCAATAATGATACGTTCAGGAAGATAGGTTGTTGCAGAGCGACTAGGCCTTACGCGATCTACGAGCTGCATTTCTTGACTGTATTGTGAGAGCATTGTCATTCAAGGCTTTGAACTAGCCACGGTAATCATGAATTTCTATCGAAGAGAGAGAGAGAGAGAGACTCAGAGAGGGAGACTCAGAGAGAGAGAGAGAGAGAGAGAGAGAGAGAGAGAGAGAGAGAGAGAGAGAGAGAGAGAGAGAGAGAGAGAGAGAGAGAGAGAGAGAGAGAGAGAGAGAGAGAGAGAGAGGGGGGGGGGAGAGAAAGAGGGAGAGAGTATGGCAGGCACTTCCTTGCTCAATGTCTTTCTCCACATACCAAACATGCATGAAACATACAATGGCAAGAGTGATGATGCCGATGCATAGATCTACGGTTATCGTCCTCGTGTGTACCGGCGCGGGTTCATGCATCGCTGCGTACTATTATGCACGGGTACTGACGTCAAGACATGACAGTTCTTGTGATTTTTCGCATCTTATATCTCCCTGCTACCGTATGCCAGCGCTTTTAAAGCCATGGCCTTAGATTTGAAACACCACTGCTTTCCTAGGTATTTTAGATGCAAAATGACTCGCCCACTACGCCATGCCATAAAAGTCAAAGTCCACACAGAAATTTTAATCTAAGGCTGTGTTTACTAAGTACATGAGAAATTTCAACCCGGGTCGAGTTCAGCCCGGGTTGAAAGTCTGTACGACAGACAAAAGAGGTGAGCGTTTACATGAAGACAGTTGACCCGGGTCAAATACTGATATGCCGCCAAATGTCCACTTCTACAGTCCTGTATGGTCACGTGAATCCGTTCGCGCGAAATTTGCATCTGCAGTGCTGTTCAACTTGAACCTGGCGCGAGATACGCACAGAAGTACGTTTGTACGATTTTCTTGACCCGGGTTGATTTCAACCCTCCCCTTGGGGGGAGGGTTGAAATCAACCCGGGGCGAAATTTCAACCCGGGTCAAGCGCAATGCGTCATGTAAACGCGCCATTCACTTTGTGCACATGGCGGGTTGAAATCTGACCCGGGTTGAAACGCTTCATGTAAACACAGCCTAAATCTACTTGTTCACCCTTTCTGCTGGGCTGTAAGTTTGTTAGCATAGTACTCATTCCTTCATTTTTGAAAAATATACTTCAAATGTCATTTCGTTTATGAAGCCCATGGCTTTATAACTGAGACTGGCTTTATAATCGAATATAACGCCATGGGTTTAAAGGTGCGGACATACGGTATAAAAAAATAACACGGAATTCAAGAGTATTCAAGAGTATGGCGCTTTTGCTCTTGACAACAAGCCGCATGATGCATGGCTTTATTCCCGTAGCTATGCAAAAGACGTTACTTTAGTATACTAGTACGAGTATAGTAGTAATGTCTGGCGCTAGCCAGGGTCCACACAGCTTTAATTCCGTGTGTGTTTGTGTCGTCGGTATGCCTGGCGTACCTGTCCCGTACCGTACCATCAAAGACAGCTGGCCACAATATTCAAATCGGGTTTTCAAATGCAAGATCTTAACGTGAAGCAACTTGGAAGAATGAGTATGTATGCGAAGCAGGGAGTCGTATATTATACGTCTCCGTGATGCAAAGTGTATCGGGGGAATGCATGATGCAGGGCGATAGTGCGCGTTCGAATCCTAGGGCGCGTTTGGTTGATACGACCTAGAACAGGATTCACCAGAACAGCGCGTTTGGTTGGGACTGCACCTGTTCTGGGTCGGCCAGACCGAGCAGTTTCACTTTTTCACAGTGAAAACTGGCGGGAACATCGATTTCGGTCCCAAATGATCATGCGTGCATACGCTTTTGGTTTGGATTCATAGTACCGTACAAAGTGACCATGTTGACCCATACACATTTTGAAGGCCGTAGGCCTGTGGGATCCGGGAATGCCCTATTCAAAATTTTTAAATAAATAAGAAGAAGAAGAACTACAATTGTAACATGTAGTGCACCGGTGCACCAAGGTTGGCACATTTTTTTCACAAAAATGTGCTCTGTTTCTGGAGTACCGTTTGTTTGGCATGAGGCTGCTCCATGTGCACCAGCTGTTCGATCCTGTTCTAGATCGTACCAACCAAACGCACCCCTAGGCTACTACTACTAGGTTATGTCTTGAAAAAAATAGGAGAAATGAAAAATTTATAACATCCCTATGCTTTTTTGCCTAGGCCGACTAGGTCATCAAGGTGGTGGACGGTGTATACCATCGAATGATCAGCTAGCTAGGCAGCTAGGCAAAAAAGCATAGCGTAGGGCCGGCCCTGAGCTTCCAAGCTCTCTCGTTCTTCAGTACTGTAGATTCACAATAACTTCTATTATTCGATATGTAGCTTTTTTATACACTGTAAGTCTACAGGAGAACTCCAGCACAAGTTGACAAGTAAGTTAGATGACAAGTGAGTTGAACAGACTAGATACGTACCTTGGAAGCATTGGTCTCATCTTGAATGCCCAGAAAACGATGTAAGTTCATGGTGCTTCGGAAAAAGGCTCTGCCTCGGATCTTACCATTGCATGCAATGACTATGTAGGTAGCTTACCTTGCCGCCCGCGTGGCGCTGTCCGGTGGAGCCATTTACGCCCTGTTGATGTTTGAAAACGTGGTTTGTACCTACATGACACCAAATTTAACCGTAATGCGTACCGGAACAGAAAAAATATCCCGTATATACATGAATTGTACCGTAGTACCCTGATCTGTCCTTCCATTGCTGGTTGAAGTCGTGACGAACCAAAAGGTGGTCCAAAAAGCAAAGACAATTAATAGTTCGGGTCATGGAAGCCATATGTTTCTCGTTTCAGATCCAATGAATAAGTCCACACCCGTGAAGGCTAGCCATCTTTACGAAGTCTTACCTGCTTTCTAACAAGTAGCCGAGTTGCAACGGCTATGAAACTTGTTCCAACTTGAGGAATTTACTTGTTTTGAGCTTGGAGATCGACTGGTGATCCAGAAACATCGTACTTTTCGAAAGGCTAAACGGCGGTTTGACTTTTATTATTCAGGAAGTCTCGTCTAGCCAATGACTTACTGTGGAAACGACCCCAGAAGCTGTGTGACAGTTTGTGTTGTGCATGTTTCCCTAGACTAGGCTAGTTGGAGTCGTACCCGCCAACTGCAACAAAGCAATGATGACTGAAGGGCCCCGTTCTTTGCCCTTGGGCAAAGCGAACCGCAGAGCCACTCTTGCTGGGACCGACTGTACCAGTGCGAGCTGGAAGTTATCAGAGCCACCGACCTGCGGTGAGCATGGAGGTGGCCGACTGAGGAGCCCGAGTCCGAGCAGCCTGTCCACCACCAGCTCGCCATCGAGACGCACGAGCTTTCTGCAAATGCAAACGGGCGGAATGAGTTCCGATTTGGCATGTATCTCTCCCGTCGTGGGTCGTTCAATACAGTCCCTCACATCTGCCATAGGCAAATCAAGCACCATGCGTGCCCGTACAAAATCCACTGTATCCTTTGATAGTCCAAGTGCAGAGACAAGTCCAATGTGTCAGAAACGTTACCATGATATCTCGCGTGGTACGGCAATGGCCAATGCTAAGCTGATCAGCCGCGGCCATCGGCAACTTCGACCGCTTCGCAAGGGCATCATTGGGCTGTCTGAAACAGACCTGCTGGCACTGGGCGAGCGGTTACGGCTCTCGTTCTACGAGAGCGGTGTCATCAAGAACCGGCGCCGCGGCCTTGTTTGCCACCCGTCTACTTTCCTTGCCATCGACGCGGTGGAGTGGCTTGTGTCTCACGGCAAGGCAGACACCCAGCAGCAGGCAATCACTATCATGACGTGCTTGCAGCGCAACCAGATCATCGTCAATCTGTCCGACGAACGAGACTTCCAGGCAACGCAAGTCTTCTTCCGGTTCCGTGCCGATGACATCAGCAAGCCGGACAGCACCATTGTGGATCTGGTGGACTGCCACACCAGTAACTTGCTGCGCTCGTGGGCCACTCGAGACAAGCGCATCATCACGCACCACAACCGCGGCAACAAGGTGTATCCTCACTCTTTCGTGGCCAGTGAGCTCGTTTCCCACTTAGACGAACTCAAGGATTGCCCGCTGGCTGAGGATGCACTAGTGCCGCTGTGCCAGATACTGCAGGAGAGCCGCTGCATCGTGCAGCTGCACCCGGTCAAGCCGTCCATGTTTGCCAACAGCGTCACCATGCTGTTCCGCTTCCGACAGGACCACATCCTGCTCAACCGTGCCAAGGAGGTGGAGCAGCGGCGCCTGAAGAAGTCCTCGGCGCTCATCCCGCGCTGGATGAGTGCCACCGAGTCGCTGTCCGCCGCAGTGCGCTCTCCCGTACGCCGTGCAAAGACCATTCTGCGGAGTCGACGGCGAGACACTGTTCCTGACCGTGGCCAGGTGTACCGCCCGGAGATGTGGGACGGCATAAAGCTGCAGCTCGTGGCGTCGCTGAAGGACGAGTGGGGCTTCACGTTGCACGGCACCACGCCCGTGCGAGTGTCCTGCGTTGACAAGGACGGGCCTGCGCGCAAGCTGCTCAAGGTCGGTGACATCATCTTGCAGATTGATGACCTCGACGTGTTTCGCATGACCGGGCAGCAGGTGATGAGTGTGATTCGTGAAGGCAAGCCATTTTGTCAAGTCACCATCCATCAGCGTCCAGAACTGCCGCCAACGACGAGGCAGGCTCGTTCGATTAAACTCGTCACCTCTCACCCCCCTGGCAAGTCATAAGTGAGTGTTGTCCAATGAGTTTGCTGGTTTAGCTCCTGTACACCTCGATTGACATCAGGAAATAGTTCTCACTCGTGGAATCCGGGTGATACAGTTGTCAAACACCGTTGCAGGTCTGCTACAGTTTATTACGCTGGAATGTGATAATACCTCCCCAAGTCCTCTGCCCTATGATCTCTGATCCTACTGTAATCATGTCATATCATAAGGTCGCAGACCGAAAAGAATCGGTCATTTTTAATTTTGCTTACACAAATACTTCATACTATCTTTCATGTCCCTCCTTCGTAACGGCCCACAACATAATCAACAGAAAAGCCTAGACGTATGCTGCCATTGTGTAAACCTCTACAGCGATGTGCAAATTATATAATCCATTGTGTCTATTTTTTGAAATTTACATAGTTTTACCATAGCCCAAGACATCTGGCTTTTCACCTTTTCAGTACTTTGCCTTGAAGGGTAATATTGTTGCATGTTCACATTTTATCGAGTTCTCTGCTCAAAGTGCTGGTTCACTGGCATACCGGTATCTGCTTTTCTGGCATTTGGTCAGGCCAGCCTTGTGACCTTTTCCAGCCAGCTGGTTTCTCTTCAGGTTCTCTCGCCTTCCTCATTCTGCTAATACATAGTAACATGTAGTAAACTTCCTCGCCCTCTGCACTTACCCTGCTTCTTTCGCAGCGCTCTTCATTTGTTTCCCTTTTTTATCCAAAGTGGCTACTGACCTAACTGCCCGTGCAGACAAGCGGCGTCTCGTTTTTTTTGTTTTTTTTCTCTGGGTCAGTTTTTACATGTATTCTTATTTTTTAGTCTTAGTTCCAGAATCCTGAGCTAAGTCAGGGTCGTTGAATTTGTACGCACAACTGCTGTTGTCTTTTCTTCATTCCACTGTAGTTATTCTTAAACGTTTTATTATTACCGGCATTGTCGACTCCCAATGGAATACACAAGTTCTCTTTATCTTTGCAGTGGACCGGCTGTGTCTGGTCACGTGCTCGGTTTTGAACGGTTCTGTAATAATAAACCTGGTACAAGCATTCGTGTGTTGTTAAGGTGAATGGGTTTTGTCTGAGAGCTAACTGCCAGAGTCGCTTGTGTGATAGATCGGCTGTTCTGTTTTGTTTTAGCCTGAGAGTGAGTCCCGCTCTGAATACAAGCAGGGAGTACAAGATATTGAACACATGAGTAGCCGCGTATTGTTCTGACTACATGTACTCTGAAGCACTCAACAGCCTCTTTTATGGGCAAAAGCAACACAATAATGATGAGAAACCACCAGGGTATGATAGGAAGAACATAAACACGCAGGTGTGCAAAATATGCTACTTTGAAGCAGGGAGTACTTCGAAGTAGTAAATTTAGTACAGTATTTTACTATCATGATTGTGTTGACGGCATGCTGTGCCTGTACTTTAGTTCGGAAACAACAGAACACGTCAACAATGCATTATACCGGTACATGTATCTCACAATTATTGTATTGTGCTTCTCCGATCTCCTGGTATGTTATAAGTAAGTTTGGTAATTTTGTCCCCAGTATAGCTATTGTGCTGTGGGCAAACGTGCCAAATATACCTGGCATCATTTGCTTTTTTTAATAAGTTTACTTTCCATGGTATGTGCTGCACTTTCATGTCTAAATATTAGTATTAGCAAGCTAGCCAGAAGTGTACCTGAGCATGCACTCAGCACAAACAAATACCTGACAGACACTGAATACTGCGGGGATACAATGCAGGTTTTAACAACAGGGAGTTGTACTATACAATGAACATGCAGTACAAGTATGTCACGTGCCGAATTATTACTAAATCTTTGATAGGGCGAATAACATCGAGCTTTGAATACAAGAACGCCACTGTTGATTTTAACTTTTTTTTAAAGTTTTTATTGTTCTGGAGCACAGCTTTTGTTATACACATGTATGTTACCAGAATACCAGATGAGATCGCTGAAAAAATAGAAATGTCCCAGCCCTGACCCCATGCACGGCAATGGCAATCTTGGACATGCATGACTCTACCCTGCTCGTGAATTACTACAATTGTAGTGTACGATGTCTGTTTCGCATGATTGTGATCAGGGAGTTTGCATGACAACCTGATTGTACAATCGTATAATAATGACATTGCAACTGATTACAGTAAATCCACAGTACTGCTTCGTGTACCCAAGCAACCAAGCGTAGATGTTTGCGGCACGAATCGGCATTTTCTATGCAGATGAGTCAACCGCTCATCCCGAGCACTCACACCAATGAACTCTGGACACTGAGAAGAGAACGTAACGAAAAAAAGATATAATTATAAAGATGCAGGTCCCGATCACATACGAGACTTGTACTTGCGAGCAGCTTGATAGGGCAGGATGCGCAGACACGTGCACTATATTGCTCAAGGGACAGAAAGACTAGAAGCTTGTACACAAGCAGGGCTACACGTCTGTAGCGATAACGTCTAGGTAAGTAGTCAACGTGCTACACCACACGCACAAGCATCTCCAACGGCAAGGAAAGCAGTACTGTACGCAAACAATTAAACATCATGTACAAACATGTACACTCAAATAGGGCGCATACGCCCACACTCAAGCACGGCAACCAGGAAAGAGCAGGAAAAGACTCGACAGGCGGCAAACCTGAAATGAGAATTGGGTAACTGAAGATTTGAACAAAACACAAGATATGTGGCAATGGGTCTCGCAAGGTGACAACATAATAGAGCACATCTAAGAGAATAAAAGGTTTGTTTGGTAAAATAGTAAGACTTTAAAGTGGCCGAGCTAAATGTCCGCATGAGGCGCAAAGGTCTGGAGGAGAAACTAGTCTCATGCGAGCATACGCCAGTGCACCCAGCAGCGAGAGAAGCCACAGTGCTACCCTGCATGTAGCTGTGCAGAGAGGCCTTGTGGATATGTGGACATATACGGCAGGTGGTCGTGTGTGTGTGTGTGTGTGTGCGCGCGCGCGCACACACGTATTGCGAAACAGGAGAAGACTGATTATAGACAGCACCTCAAACTATTTACATACTATGTACGGGAAAGTTGGCCAGCTTCTTTAGTTCAAATAATATCGTGATTCTAGATCGGCTTCCATTATATCTTGGGGGCGCCGATGAACTCCTGTACTTCACTATTCTCGCTCAGAAACCTCACAGAACATACTGAAAAACAAAGGCAAACGCACAGAAGAGGAGGGAAAGAGAGAGATCATATTAAATTTGATTGCTACTGGTTGATTGCTGGTGGTTGAGGCTAAAACATTTTCGTCACAAAATACAGACATCGACCCATTTACCACCGTTAATTTGTACAGGTTTGGGTGGAAACTATTTCTTTCGGCAGGTGGGTTCGGGGTTTTTTCCCACCCCAAACGGTAGATTCTACTTCTTCTACCGGCTCTACCCGGTTTGAGGCAGGTGGAAGTTAGTAGAAGTCGGTAGAGGTACGGTGTTTCTTTATTTGTGCGGCCATGCGAGCTGGGCTTCACAAAATATCGTACATCGTTACTGCAAAATGGACATTCTACCAAAATGGATAGATCGGTGTTCGTAAACTACCGTCTACCACTCTTTTTCCCAACACCTGCTCCGCTCCACTCTACCAAGTAGACAAAAAACGAATGCAGCCTAAGCTGCACAGACTTTTTTGGTGAATTGCTGGTGCTTAAAGTGCGGCTTTTACTCCGGATAATACGGTACTGATCAGGAACCTGGTGCTCTCTGGCGTGGATACTCACTGGAAAGCTAGAGCACAGTAATCAACAAGACGGTGCAGCCAGTATATTTGAATTGACCACAACTTACCCGTATCCAGCCACTCCTCGAGTGAACGCCTTCGCTGCTCCAGCTTCTGTACGCTGAGCTTGAACGGCCATTTGGGTGGCAACTTGGGAAAGGTTATATCCGCATACTGCCGTTTCAACTGAACACACGTAACAAGAAACACAAGACATGTACACGTACAGACAGGCACACGCGCAGAGGAGAGCATACGGTTCCAGCACAGCACACACTAACGGTACCGCCACGCGGTGATACTTCGCACAGCACCACACTCTACCCACCCACACATACATGTTGGTCTACAAGAAATGCTTGTGAGAATCCTCCACATGCCATGATACACAACATCTGGTAACCCCCCCCCCCCCCAAAATGCCCCAAAAATGCCAATTCCTATAGGATTACGAACTCGCAAACAGATACACATAACGGCAAACATGGACAACGCAAGCAATGTTCATGTGAGTGTGGAAAAGCGAATGCCCAATTGCCCTAGTATATCCCCCCCCCCCACACACACACACAGTCCCTACCGATTTGGAAAGCGCGTCAAATTCCCTGTAGCGCCGGCTGCATGTCTGCTTTCCACTCAAATGGAGGTTATATTGCTGCAACAGAAAGACCAGAACACCTCGTCAGGCTCTATAATCACATGTTAGTATTGTTAAACTCATCACACAACGCCTCACGGCGCCACAGCTCAACACAACACTGTTAGCAGGAGCAGAAAAAAACACATACTCACTACATCCTACTACCCGGTATGTTCTCAACCAGCCACCCTGAGAGTGGCCAGCATAACGCTGAGTTCCACCGCCAGAAAGAGCATGGGCAACACGCTTGTAGAATAGCACGGGAGACAAACACGACAGCGTCCGATCAGCATACCTCGTGTTGCATGTCCATCAAGCACTTACCACGAATGCCTCGCCGGCATCAGTTATCTCCTCAGAGAAGCTTGGTATGGATATCGGAATTGACGATCGCTCAAACACGTCGGGGACCTGCAAAGGCAAAAGGTGATACACAGACAATGTCAAGTTGATATTCAAAGACAAGTCATGAGGAACGGAAAAAGGAAAGCAGTGGCAGGTTCTGACCAAGAGAGAGAGAGAGAGAGAGAGAGAGAGAGTGAGTGAGTGCGTGTGTGTGTGGCAGAGAGAGAGAGAGAGAGCGAGAGCGAGAGAGAGAGAGAGCGAGAGAGAGTGTGTGTATGTGTATGTGTATGTGTGTGTGTGAGGATAGCAGACAATGGAGATCAGCATGCAGCACCATTCCTCCGACCGAGCATGTCACCTTAGACTTCGTTTGCACTTGTGGAAAGCGCTATCGCCAGGACTTGACTCGCCACGCCCGATTCTGCTCGTCACTTGAATACTGTTGGTCCCTTCGGGACCTGCTATCATCTCCGGATGGGCATATTGTATTGTTGTATTGTTGTATTGTATATGTGTGTGTGTGTGTGTGTGTGTGTGTGTGTGTGTGTGTGTGTGTGTGTGTGTGCATGTACGTTCCAGGAGTAACTCGGAACCCACAAAAACTCGAATCAGCACCACCACAGCTAGATAATTCTGCAGGTGCACTCTGATGTGCCCATATCGTTGTGATGCAGGCTCTTTCGGCACAACCAAACTGCAACTGACCAGCATATTAAATGGAATAATTCGCCACAGTCAGTACAGTGGTGACACGTAATATTCCCAGTACAAACTAGCACAGGGCTGTGGACTTGATCTGGCGACAACACTCGATACTGAGAGCAAGCTCAGGCCGCAGAATGGATTTGCACACACCAGGCGACAGCACAGTCGCACCTCACGTGTGCATTTGAGTGTAATGCAGATGGCACAGGGGAAAAGACACACAATGCGTTATCCTTACGGACGGCTGCACTGGCCGGGCGTCCATTTCCAGATGCTTGGCCTCGTCCTTGGTGACGCTGATGACACTGAGCTTGAGCAGTTCACCAGACCTGCGGATCAGATCCACCACCTCGTTGTGCGATAGACCTTCTGAAGAGGTTCCATTACTGCACAGAATGATCAGAGACAACCGAGGCAGTAGTACATGTCATGATCGACCAAGAAAAATCACAGATGTACGGAAAAATGGTGTCCATAACAAACAGACTCCCAAAAGTAAGTTACATGTACCGTAAACCGGGATACGTTTGCGGCGGTTTTAGTTCACGATTTGCAAGCACAGGCAAATTCGCACCTGGAGATGTTTGCAACTGGAGCCAATTTCCCCAGTTTCTTCATCACTGCTCTACGCCTTTGTGCTGGCTTACTCGTACGATTTCAATTCATACCCATCGTGAAAACCGCAGAGGATCCCGGATCACAAAGGTTTCCGGGTTTACAGTATAATTCAGGACGCTTTAAACTAAAGTCGATTTTTTTTCTCATCAACAAAAAAGTCACGTGCCGAAGAACTTGGGAGCTCAAGAACACCCAGCCAAAAAAACTAAGAACGGAACAACCTCAAGTGACGTCAGTGTTGGTTTTCTGGCATATTTTGCCATACATATATATGCAATAGTGTGAGCATAGAATCCAGTACTGATTGATTCTAAGAACGTGCTATATAAGAAGGCAGCCAGATTGCCCATAGATTAAAAAAACGTCCCAGCCCGACCTCTTGGAAACGACATTCTTGGACGGGCCACTCTACTGTAGTTGGTGGAAGTACCGTAAAGTCGTGTATAAAGGCCGCGACTTATGACTGTTTGGGGGAATTTTGCAGGCCTCTATTTGAGACAGGCTTCTATGCAAGACCGGTATTTCTATGTATGTCAAGCTCACCTCCATACGCTCTTTGCTACTTCTGGTGGACTGTCAGTGCCAGTGTGTGTGTGTGTGTGTGGTGTGTGGTGTGTGTGCGTGTGTGGTGTATGTGTGTGTGGTGTATGTGTGTGTGGTGTGTGTGTGTGTGTGTGTGTGTGTGTGTGTGTGTGTGTGTGTGTGTGTGTGTGTGTGTGTACATGGCTGAGCATATTATACCAACACCGCAAAGCCAGGTGATCATTGTACAGGAATAGAACGAGGAGATCACACCATCACAACATCACACCATCTTACAAACATGTCCGTCCCTTTGTATGTACAACGACGTGAACACCGCATTGTGTGATGTGAGTTTACGTGATGGAACACATAGCAAACCCAGCTCGAGTTGCAATCTTGGGTACGTAACACTCTTGCTCTTGGCTAGTCCAGTAGGCGATTCACACGACGTGTAAATGCACGATAACACGTACGTGTAGAAGTGGACAAGCGGTCCAGCGGACTCACATCTACACGAGACTTGGCAAATCTTGCACGCGCCAGCGTATTCATAGCCTCGATTGAGCATACTCATATACTTTCGGCGTACACGTTCAAAATATTTTCCTCGCGCTTTCCCCACACGAGCACATCTCTACGGATACAGCTCGATACAAGTGAGTTTACAGGTCATGTGAATCGCCTATGAACAAATCTCTATTTTCATTAGGGGTGAAAGTTGGCACTGAGATCCCGAGTTCGAGTACTCTGATTTTCTCCGATCGAATATTCGAGTATTCGAGTATTTTTCATCTCATAAAAATTGCACACCAAGGGCTTTAAAATAACATGATACAACCCTGATTGAACCGAGTAGCAGTCATTTTTCTCGGGTATATTGGTTGGTGGGTCATTTGGGCTCTCTCTACTCGTGAACAAATGTTCACCACACAGCCTGCACATCACCATCTGCCGACTGCTGCCCTGAAACTGCAGATTTCTGTAGTAAATGCATGTACCATGTATGAACGAGTACTCTGATTTATTCCGAGTACGATTATTTTTGAAAAAACCGAGCGAGTACTCGAGTACTCGGTATAATTGTTTCACCCCTAATTTTCATGCTGGGGTAGAACTGCACAGTATCATACTGGTATGGTGATATGCGTGGGCGTGTTGAACTAACTTGTACAGCCAGACATAGATTCAAAAAAAGGATTCTGATTTCTGAGTGTATACCCTACCTAAAATGGGTCTGTGTTCTACTAAAACTTTTTTTTAAAGATTGTGATATATACTGTCAACTAGATTACTTACACCTCCAGAACACGGTCTCCCAGCCTTAGGCCCCCAGCCACACCCGGGCCATCCTCTACCAACGCACTGACATACTGCATAGGCATGTACAGCTCTCCGTTGATGGGCCGCAAAACACCACCGGCTGCCACTTGACCACGGATATTGAACCCATAGCCTTGGTGCGTTCTGTTGATCACAACGAAGTGGGCTTGTCGAGCATCCTCATCAACATCGGAGTCCGGCATTATGAGAAAATTACGCACAGGCAAAGTAAGTAATGCGCCTGTCCTCAACTAAAAACTCCAGATGAAAGTCTGCACTATGTAGGGAAGCCTGAAGGGAAAATAGAACGCTTCCGTCAAGCTGCCATCGGAATCAACCACGGCTGTCACCCTTTCAGAAGGTCTCCTCCTGTGTCCTCAGTCGAAACAAGCTAGCATAACTCCAAGGCAAAGGCAAAGGCCCAACTTTTTTGACATGTCGAGTTCTTCATACACCGTGCAGATCGGCGATCCACTGTACTCGTACTACGAGTGGAATACGACACATACAACACCTGTCCTTTGCTTGTCCTTTTTTTGCTCCACTTTTTTGTCTTTGACCTACACGTACACTACGTACACGTGTACAACAGTATAGTACGAGTACCTGTTGAGTGTTGAGTGGTGAGTTTGACTTGCACTAAAAAATATGCCCGCTACTGGCGCTATAGCGCTAGGCGGCGCTAGACCCGGGTACCCTGCAGGACCGACCGTGCGTGAAAAGCGTGCATACTTTGTGTACTACCAAGACTAGCAAGAGTCCATAACCCGGGGGGTTATGGACTCTTGCAGTCTTGGTACTACTGGCGTACTGCAACTAGTACGCGGATATCGGCCGCGTCGGTCACCATGGTCACGAGCCACGCGCGTCCACTCGCGCGAACCGCGTACCGGATATATATCGCGCGCATCATGGATAAAAATTCTATTTTAACTTTCATGGTATCTCAATTTTTTTCACGTCTACACGACTTTATTTTGCCCGTAAAAGAGGCCGTTACCCCGTAAAAAAAAAAAAAAAAAAAAAAAAGGAAGTCGATGGCACAAGCGACAAAAAATGTACTGTACGTACTAGCAAGAGTAGATAAACAAGAGTGTGCAACTCCGGATCTCTCCTGCACAATCTGCAGATACCCCGCGCCCACGGCGGAATTTTTTGTTTACGTCACCTTTTTTCAGAGAAACGCGGCTTTGCCGCAGAGCAGTGTGAGAGCACGTGCTGGGCACCGACCTTGTAGTGTAAAGCCCAGCCAACACGGCTGTTTTGCTGCGGTCACCTAACAATATGGCGACATTTGACCAAGCGCACCACGCGAAACTGAGTTTTATTGTAATTCTTTTTGTTTTGTATAATTTGATTCGTATTCACAGACAAGCACCGATGAACCACCGCAAAACGCGGATTGTATTCAAACATTTGAAAAGGTGCTTTGAAGAAGAAGATTTCTAGAATGCAGGAAGTAGTTGTCGGAAATCGAGAAAGAATCAAGCTAGCTTCTTAGTCCTGCTACTATCAACCTTTCGTGATTACCCTCATAGCTTTTGGTATTCTTTCAGAAGGTGCGACTTCTTTAGACTGTTACTGGATAAAAGCTCAAATACACGAGTATCTCGTTCTCTGTAGCTGTTACAGCAGCGAAGGCAATAGTAAAATTAAGCGAAATGAAAATCATGAGATATTACGTTGGTGAAACACAGTGTGAATTAGCTCTTACCTCGAGGCGAACCCAGCTAGTCACTTGTCCTGGGTGGATGCTTTCCTCTTCTTGGCGACTGGGCGAAGTGCCTCGTGCTGTGGAAGCGTGGTGACGAGGTGCTGTTGAGCCACTGATTTCAGGCGATTGAGGGAGTTTCTGATAGGACGATGATGTCGGTCCAGTGAATTGAAGCGGGCATGGATGCTTTCGCTTCCTTGCTCGGCAAGCAAGCCAATGCCGACCCCAGTTCTCCGGATGGACGGTACGACGTGGGACTCAAGCAGATGTAGCTTCGGAGTGACATGGCCAAGACCCTTGTCCACTACAGCTGCTCTGCATGTGGCCATGAAGCTGGTGATTGAGTCATGCAGCTTGTCGGTGCTTTGCGCATCCATACTGTTGCAGTGGCTGAACTGCTCCGTACAGGACGCGTATTGGTTGAATAGCTGCTTGTAGGTGTCCTTGATCCTGTTTGCTTCGGGCAGCAACGACGGACACCTTTCGACAACAACAGAGACAGGAGCCGACACTATTGCGAGCACGGTTGCAGGTTGAAGGGCTTTGTGAACATGATTGCCCACAAACGCACCTCCATGGTAGGCTTGCCGCTCTATCCCCTGCTCCTGGAGGATTGGCTCAATACTGGCTAAGCAGGGGCCTTCGAAATTCTTGCTTCGTTCAATAACGTTGATTCTCTCCATTGCTGATTTCAGCTTCTCAGCCAACTCTGCACGACGAGCGTCTGCGTCTTTCCATTGCGCCTGCAAATGCTCAGTGACAATTTCCACTGCCGCAGCTGATGTGTTCAGCTGAGCTGGAGTGAAGAGGACTGTGTACTGAAGCTGCTGTTGCAACGAGTGGAGTTTATCAGTGATGGTCACAACCTCTTCCTCTGCCTTCCTGGCTTCGGCGTGGAGTGACTTCAGTTCAGCAAAGCCCCGGGCATTGGAAGCAACAGCATCATCAGCGGCGGCAACAGGAGCATCAGCAGCGGCAACGGGAGCAACGGCAACAACAGCATCGGCAACGGTAACGACAGCATCGGCAACGGTAACGGGAGCAACGGCAGCAACGGCAACGAGAGCAACGGCGGCAACGGGAGCAGCGGCAATGGGAGCAACGGGAGCAACGGCGGCAACGACAGCATCGGCAACGGTAACGGGAGCAGCGGTAACGGGAGCAGCGGTAACGACACCATCAGCAGCGGCAACGGGAGCAGCGGGAGCAACCGCTGCGGCAACGGTAGCGGGAGCAACGGCAACGGGAGCATCGGCAACGACAGCAGCGGCTGTGATAACTGGAGCAGCAGTGATGGGAGCAACGGCGGCAACGGGAGCAACGGCAACGACAGCATCGGCAACGGTAACGGTAACGGGAGCAGCGGTAACGGGAGCAGCGGTAACGGGAGCAGCGGTAACGGGAGCAGCGGTAACGACACCATCAGCAGCGGCAACGGGAGCAGCGGGAGGAACCGCTGCGGCAACGGTAGCGGGAGCAACGGCAACGGGAGCATCGGCAACGACAGCAGCGGCTGTGATAACTGGAGCAGCAGTGATGGGAGCATCAGTGGCAGTGCACCGGGCAAGCTGAAAATCTAATGCCTTCAGCTCCGCTTGGAATGCTTTCAGCATCCATGGGAAGATACCCAAATCCAAGTGGAGTGCCGGAATGACAACATTCTCCACCGGAATATGCAAAATCACTGGTCGCACAACATTGTTGAACTTCTTCGCATCTTTGATCTTCGAGCCGTTTTCCGTGAAGGATCCGAAGTCATCTGCCAGTGACTGCAAGGTGCGGCTGACAGAGTCCTCAGCAGAGCGATCTGATGGTGCATGGTCCATAACCTTCTTTTGACAGAGGCAGTGAAGGCATGGTCGGGCACCACTCGATCCAGAGAGGCCGTATGCTTTCGTCTGGTAGTCATAGTCTCCAAAGAAGAAAACTCTGAACGACCTGCCGTGCCATCTAGCTGTCGTCTGCAGTTCGTTGATTTCTTTGCGATATGGTGCCAGTGCTATCTCCAGGTTTGCTGGTGTGTCCTGTGCATCGAAAATGCAGATTGGAATGGTATTAAACAGCGAGTTTGGATGCTGCACATTGGCAACCTGCATCACAAATTTGAATGTGCCGCCGCCGTGATCGCCTCCAAGTTTGAGCCAGACTTCACCGTTGGGGATGGAGTGCTCTGCCATCTTGCCATGCTCTGCGTACCAGTTCAGGTAGATCATGATAACGTCAATCAGGCTGGGAAAGTAGACCATTGGCACCATCTCCACATCACCAGCCTTTGATGCCATGGGGACCAGTTTGCTGTTGTATTGCGGGATGGTGCTAGCGATGAAGGCCCTGGTTCTCCTCTCCGACTCCATCTTCAGCCCATAACTCTGCAGCCACATCTTCAGTTTCCGAAGTCGGTTCCAAGGTAATTGGAGGTCTGCTTTGATGGCCAGTAATGAACCTTCTGCAGGAGTAGCTGGAGTCAAGCCTGCATCCCGCAGTAGCGACACTTGCTCCTTGCTGGTGAGGCGCTTTAGCCCAGCTACCTGTTGTGCACGGGCGCCAGTCTCACCACCGCAGACAGAACGCTCAACCTCCACCAACTCAGTTGAGCGCCTGCGGAGAGTTCTGCTGCTTGCACGGTCTGATGTCACCGAGGCTTTTGTCGTCCTCATGTAGACCTGTGGTCGGCCGTGCCTGCCCGGGTTCACTTCTAATTTTCCGTCGTGCACCTTGCAACTGACAAGATGGGCTGTCAGTTGCTCAGCAACATTTCCACGCAGCTTTGATGGTGACGCTGTCATCACCTCCTGAACGGTCGTGTGTGGACGGACAGTTCGGATAGGCTCGGCATCAACCATTGGGCTGAATGGACAGGTTGCAATATGGTCTTGCAAACCGCTCAATGGCACAACAGTCTGGCATCCCTGAAGGGCGTGCTGGTGGTAATCACAGCGCAGCGATCGTTTGCCAAGCAAGCGACTCACCCCAGCGCATGGGCGTGTCAATGCTGATGCCAGCAGAACAGAACTACAGACTGGGCATGTTCCATTGGATTGCAGCCATGTGCATATACATGTAGCGCAAAACATGGCGTGGCAGCAGGCTGATTCAACAACGTTGTCCAGAACGTAGCCGCATAGTGGACATTCTTCTGCTACACTCTGGTCTATAAATCTGTCTCTAGTTAGGGCTCTCGATGCCCTGTGCGTGTCCGTAGCAACTATGTATACTTCTTCTATAACTGTATCCATTCCACTAGTACTGTGTGCTGTCTGGGGTCCAGGAGAGTGTGATAGGGGCGTTGCTGTTGTGGATGAATGTTGCGGGACTGTTGTGTCATCCATTTCTTTTTTTCTTTTTTCTACAGCAGAAAGCTTTGAAGCAAGTTGCTTCTGCTTTTTTGGTGGCCGTCCACCCTTGTTTGGTGCAGTGTGGCATATGTCGCAGTATGTGCGGTGATGTGGCTTCCACACTTTGATGGCGGCTCCACATCCACCCCCTACAAATGAGTCCAGGCTACCTGCACTCAGACAACGATCCAGCACACGTTTACATACATGACAAATGTGTGTAGGGTGGATCGTAGGGTCATCCTGAGAACTGTCGACCTCGTACACAGCTTGAATGCTTCTGGCATAGTCCTTCACGTTGTATTTCGTGGACACAGCCATGTTGGCAAACTTTTTGCCACCAATTCTACAGCAGGTTAGACAGCAATGCGCTGTGTTCATCCATTTTACACACTACAACTAGTACGGGATACGGTAGAATCGATGGCCACGGAAATCGATCTTGTAGCACGGAAAGACTAACAAATTCAAAAAATCGGTAAATGAAATCGCCCGGGCACCAGGAAAACTGACGAAGAAGACGAGAAAACTTGTACAAGAGAAGGAGGTAGCTGTGAAAAGGGCTGATAGAAGTGACGAAGAGCGAGTCGTCAAGGCAAAGGAAACACACCTCTGAAGGAATCGTTCCTGGAAGAAGACGGCCAAGACGGGTATCAGATGAAAGAGGATCGCGAGAGGAAGTCATGGATCGTGTTTGTACTTTGAACCCATGCCGACTGGAAGGGGAAAGTGGAGGTTTCCTCAAGAGAAAAAGAGCAATTTCGTGCAAATCAATGACAGATCGGTGATGAGATTTTCAAATTTTCAAATTTTTGGGCGCCATATTTTTTGGCTGAGTTCATGACCATCGTGACAGCCGTGCCAAGTGCACGAGGGAAAACTCTCCAAAAGGCTCGCAGCGCGTGCGTCGTCGAAAAGATTACGTCAACAAAAAATTCCGCCGTGGGCCAATCCATCCGGAGTTGCACACTCTTGTTTATCTACTCTTGGTACTAGCAAGAGTTTATCTACTCTTGGTACTAGTAGTAGCCGAAAGGGATCTTGTTTGCTAAATTTGGCGCTTTGCATTTGTAGCTTGTCATTTTCACTTTCGTCAGTTTCGAAATAAAATTTCGCACACACGATCACCGGTACACCGCCACAAAAGTCTGTTTTCGAATTTTTTGGGAGACATATCGTACGCGACAAATGCAGGTTATTCATAAACAGTTTATGTGTAGCTGTCTAGGGTGGAAATCCTCAAATACTCGTACAACCACTTACTTGTAACTCTTGCTTGTGATTACTTCTGTCACGAGTGGCAGGTGATCGGTGAGTGGATCACGAAGTCGACACGTCGAAGCAAGAGTACATAAGTACTCTTGGTCGAAGGAGAACTGATTCAAGAAAGGAGCAAGATTTGTTGGCCAGACATCTTAGATCAGAAGGGCTTGTGCAAATCGCGTCCCATAGGCATAGGCCATACTGTGGTCAGCCCTGCAGACCTGTTGCCACTGGTTGTTGTGAAGGAGACGACTACATTGCATAATGTAGTTTGTATCACTACCACTGGCACTGACTCTGTAATTTCGACCCCAGCCATTTTCCAACACTCAGCAGTTTATACAATCATACATGTTCGGTGCCCAAACCCGTACATACCGCGTGTACGTGTACCCACCGTTCAGTTCATGTTCACCTCATGCTCGACTCGTCATAGCTCAATCTGGTTTTCGTAATTCGACCCAGAGCAACTACTGTACTCAGCAAGCAAAGTTGTGTCGTCACGTTAGTTGACAGCAAAGACAGGTAGACTTGTGGAGGAAACAGAAGTCTGAACCCAGTAGAAATAGTTGTTTGCGGTTGTCTTTGTCAGCACCCCTTGCTTACGCATTCTCCTCCTATCTTGTTTGATGGATCATACCTATGGCTGCTGTCCTCCCACAAGGGGTGTCGAGTCGACTTGATTCACAGCAGTTGCTACGGGGAAGGAAATCCTCCAAGTTCAATTCTCTCAACTTGGACATACAGGTAGTGAGCAGCGAATTGCATTCTCGCCTTGTGGAAGCCGGACTCATCAGGGACAGACGTGCGCGACTGAGGACAATCAGCAAATGTTTTTTAGCTAGCGAGGTGATTGACTTTTTCCTTGACAATGCGGAGATTCACAGTCGAAACGATGCTGCCGGAATCTTCAGCTATTTAGTTTTCAAGGGCTTGGTACATCACGTCACGGATGAGCTGTCAACTTTCGAGGATGGCAACTTCTACTACCGATTTCGTGTGGATGATGAGAGCAGGAAGCGTCGAACAACAGCAGCCACATTTCTCAGCTATCGTGGCTCCTTCTCTGGAAGTCCTAGCAGCCAGTCATCAAGAAGATATTCTTATGCAGCTGGTACAACTGTTGAGTCCATGAAGAAATCCACCGACTCCGGTGCCGGCACGACTTCAAACTTGGTAGCAACAAAGAACGGGATTGGTCTTGACCCGGCGCTAGCATCGGATCATCAAGAGAAAGGTGGCTTGGCGCTGTCTACGTTGTCCAGGACGCGCACGTCCTTCATGAAACGCCGCTCATACCCGTCACCTGCTTCGCCAGTAACGCTTAATGTCGCACCCGGGTCCTCTCAGAACGCCTCCGCCGTGTCGTATCAAAACAAAGGCATGTGCTCCCGTGCCTCTGCCCAGTCTTCGTTTGATGAGCTGTTTGTCAACCCTGACGTCGAGGACCGTGATGACAACGAGGCCTATTTTGGCGGCGGCGAAGTGAGCAAATCTGCATCGGACGTGTCCAACAAGTCTCGCCTGTCTGTCCTGTCTTCGACATCCGACTGCTCGCTGCAGACTGTGTCGGCGCGGGAAGATGCTGTGAAGGTAGCCGGCGTGCTGCGTATGGCAATGTTATCGGCAGGACTGATCAAGGACCACCGCTTTCACTTCACCAGTTACCGACACTCGTTCTTCTCGCTGGAAGCGCTGCAGTTTACTGAGACAAGCGGCTTTGTGGAGAGTCGCTCTGCAGCACTGTGCCTGATGCAGGGACTTGAGACAATGGGATTCATTCACCATGTGACAGACAGTTTCATGTTCACTGATGCCAACCATTTGTTTAGATTCCGACTGGACGACGGCACCGACTTCCCGGAGATGAGCCATGATGTCCTACTACTGGGTGAGAACGTCTACCAGGAGGCGCACCATGCCAACCCGCCAGCTGTGCGTGACCGCACGTACAAGGGAAAGATCTACTCACAGTGTTTCATTGCCAGTGAGCTGCTGGATCTGCTAATGACCTGGGAGTTCTTCTCCAATCGCAAAGAAGCACTCAATTTCTGTAAACAGCTAGTGACGGCAGGCATGGTACACCATGTGTGCTACGATCACCACTTCAAGGACGACTTTCTCTTCTTCCGTTTCACAGATGATGATCCGGTTAACGAAAGCCAGTCAATCTCATTGCGTTCCAAGCTTCTGCATGTGCGTGTTCGGCGCTTGAACAAACTCCGGCGGAACTCTGAGAACTATGCAGCAAGTCGAAGCCCGTTGAGTGCACGGGCTTCGCCTCTGCGCACATCGTCTGAGTTAGAGCAATCCAGTGGCGCCTCGCATACCCCCGTCTCTGATTCCTTTGCAGAAAGTTCCCCAGGGCGCCGTTGTTCACAACTCTCAGTTGCAGCTTTGGCAGCAGCAAGCTCACCAGTATCGTCACCACTGCTTAAAAGTCGCCCACCCCTGCGTCCTCCTCAAGAGCTACCTTCCTTAGGCAGAGATTCCAACAGTGGCTCCAGCAGTGATTCTTTGGTAGAGTCAGATGATGACGATGATGATGATAATGGGAATCATGGCTTTACACCTATCACACGAAGGCGCAGCCAGACAGTCACCAATGAAGTAACTTATGCCAGGAAAAAGAATTTAAGCCTGGCCTCGACTTCCGGCAAGTACACTGCCCTGGGCTCAAGCCGATACATCACCCCGCACGGAAGCAGCATCGTAGTGGATGCGCGCGGTGTGGCCACAGTGTCAGCTAGTGAAGAGTCTCTGGCAGAGAGCAGCCAGAGCAGCCCGCCTCCGCCAGAGCGCGGTGGTGGCTATGACTCAGCTCCCGAAAACCAGCATCAGACCTGTACTTGTGCTCTTTCAGACTCGGGACTTTCCCATCGGCCCCAGTCACCACCCACCCGGCGGAGATCATCATCTCTCGGGGCAGCTGTGGAAGATGGCACGTTTGTGTAGCCCAGTGGCAGACTATACTGCGACAGTGATCATGTCGCTTCATTCCTTGGCGCTGACCAAACAGTTCCCAATCAGTATGTGCACGCACTCGACTCAGTGCTGAAGTGTGTGGTATGTGTGCACGCGAACCGGCCAGCTCGACCGGTTTTAGATGCCATACCATTGTAGCTAGTTTTCACCCCGTTTGCTTACTGGCAAAGTCCAAGTCTCTGTGGGCATCTGCCAATGTCTTTTTCAATATTCCGTATTGGCCGTCTATTAACCCTGTACCATATCATTGCTCTTTCAAGCAACCCTCTTCTCTCACCTGCTCTCCCATCCCATCCCCACCGCTCATGTACCCATACCCGGCAGTTCTCCTCAGTCATTGCAACAGGCATGCGTGCGCTCTCTGCAGTGTGAAGTCGGCTTTGGATGTGATTGTTTGGCGGTGTAGTGAATACGAACACCAGCAGTCAAGCACAACACACATGTGGATGTCCTAGGCTGGACCCTACCAGCTTTAAAAATATTGTCAAGGGGAAATTAATAATCCAGTCGCCTGTAAACCTTTCTGTCCCGTCCGAATGTCCATTTTCCTATCCACTCTAGCTGCAGAACTTACTTTCTATGTGATCGGCGTGCGCCTCACCTGAATTTTCAAATCTGATGTTTTGTATTTTGCTACTTGCTGTGTATGGGCTGCTCTATAAGATTTGCTGACTTTTCATAAGCCGTCAAGTGATAGATTTTTTTTCTTCTGGGCTTTTTCTAGCTCTTTTTAAAACTTCATCTTATTTATACGTCATGCTATTTAAAACCTAAAACAAAATGCCTCTAGCCCCGGGCGACATTTCGCCAATGTACTTGCAGTTGTACATGTACTCTGGTCACTGCTACGTGCATGTATCCTGCCCTCTTTTCAGATATAATTATGTTTGCGGAAACATAGTGCCGTTCGGTCGCTATGATTAGTACGGTCTTTGCTTCTTTTTGCATGACTGTTGCTAGCAGTGTACGCTTTTCAGTTTTGTATCTCGGTGTCCATGTACTGGGCGAGTGTTGGTAGTGCTGTGCCTGCATGGCAGGATGCAGACGGCAGCCAAAGTGCCAATGCCCGTCGACTTAACCCAGCAGCTGCATTGTCCCCGGCAGCCGCGTGACAGCGACCTTGGGAGTTGTGACGTGTTACAATTCCCTGACCCCCAGTGTCAGCCGGCTTTAAAGGGGAAGTATACCCTAAAATCAAATTTTCACCAGTTGTAGTCTTCGGGGTGCTGAGTCGAATGGTCTTGGTCCGAGGAAGCTGAGACGCTCCCTTCCTACTTGAATCCCAATCGAACTCGCGCACTTCCACCGAAACTGGGTGACTGCGCCCTACTAGATGGGGATTTGTATGCAAAATGTCACTAAAAGCGCCATTTCGTTCTTATAAAAGCACGGATGACCGCGATTGGCCCATATGTTGTAGTCTTTTGGACGCTGAGTCGACTGGTTTTGGTCCGAAAAGGCTGCGATGCAGCGTTCCTCCTTTATTCCCAATCGAACATGGTTGAAGAAGCGGTCACGTGCTCCTGCGTACACCAGTCACCTGGTCACCGTGCCTGCAGGGTACAACTTACTAGCCTGTTTGACCTTTTTTGGGTGCAGTCCTGTCACTCGAGTTGAACTCGAGTTGAACCTTGGTGTGAAAGTTGTCGCCTGCTGGCGCGGTGACCAGGTGATTTGGGCACCCAGGAGCACGTGACCGCTTGTTCAACCATGTTCGATTGGGAATAAAGGAGGAACGCTGCATCGCAGCCTTTTCGGACCAAAACCAGTCGACTCAGCGTCCAAAAGACTACAACATATGGGCCAATCGCGGTCATCCGTGCTTTTATAAGAACGAAATGGCGCTTTTAGTGACATTTTGCATACAAATCCCCATCTAGTAGGGCGCAGTCACCCAGTTTCGGTGGAAGTGCGTGAGTTCGATTGGGATTCAAGTAGGAAGGGAGCGTCGCAGCTTCCTCGGACCAAGACCATTCGACTCAGCACCCCGAAGACTACAACTGGTGAAAATTTGATTTTAGGGTATACTTCCCCTTTAAAAGGCTTTTTCCCTAGTTGGTGCATGGCTCCGCTGTACAGGACCGGACCTGCATGTACCGTCAGGAGTCCATGAACACTCTGCATCAGGGATCTAGGGAGTGCAGTAGTACCATTAGATAAAAATAATCATCTACTCTTGGTAGTACATGTACTAAAGAGTAAAACATTCCCTGCTCTGCACTCTTGCTACCAAGCATTGTTGGTGAGAGGGTGAATGTCACTTTGATGGCTTGAACATGGGTCTGTCTCATGATGCTCTTGTGCCAGTTGTGGCACAAGAGTTCTGACAGCAGAGTCGACAAGACACAATCAGAACTGTCTGCTGTATGGTTGTCATGATTATCCAGGTACATGATTGTATGTAGTAGAGGGGTACAAATCCTACATGCTTCTGTTCGTATTTGCTCCACGCTATCAGACTTCCGCTCATCTATACAAAAACATATAGGGTACCCCGTAAGAAGGCCTTAGGCCTGTGGGAATGCCCTATTAAAAATTTAATAAAATTTAATAATAATAATAACACCACAATCAACGTGATAAGCAGGGAGTCGTTACTTTACGACTCCATGGTGATAAGCTCTCGACTCGACTCGAGTCTTTTTTCTTTTATTTTTGGTCGGCCGGGCCCGCGGGGGGGGGGGGGGGGGGAGGGCGCCATGCATGTGTACGTGTCCGGCCGGACCAGGGAGTCGTAAATTTGTTTTAGACTTTAGTATTTTTCCTAAAGGCATAGTGCTAGTGGTGGCCTGCGGAAGCGAAGGCTATAGCTTGTGTGTTTCTGAACATTCAAGTGATGCTAACGCGGATCCCGCGAATATTATTATTAGGCCAAACTAAAGAAGGTGTGTGGTTCGACTAACATGGACATTTTTTTACGGGCGGGCGGGCGGATTTTTTTTTTTTAATATATATTTTTAGTACATGTAAATACACTGTACTGCCTTTAGACACCCAGTACATCGGCATTATTACGCAGTGTTATGCCATACATGTTGTATAAAGGGATCACTGGCTAATACTTTGAAACATTGTGTAGCTCTGGAACGAGAAGAGAATAACTTCAAGCGGTGACTCTGACTGTCCAAATCATCAAGCAAATGAAGAACGATGCGAGTTGAAAGTAAGTTCGGGAACTACTTCGAAGTACAAATTGTACAATGTACCGGTACATGTATTGCTAGTTTGGTGTCGGCGTGCACGAATACATGGGCTTTTTCCATCGACGCTTCCTGTGCTTGCACACATGGAGCAGCAACCGGTACAGGTGAAATATCGTTCCCAATACACGAGGAAAGTGCAATCTCGTCTGTCCTTCATCCCAAAACAGAAGGCCGTCCTTAATCTGGAACATGCATTTTCCATTTTCTGCAAGAAAAGGCTTGCACATCAATGCGTATAATACGGTATTGATCTCTTGATATGATGTGAAGGCCATCATTTAGTTTAAATTTACATATTGAGATAGGGCATTCTATTGATTGGTGACAGAAAAAACAAAAGAAATTATAGCAATAAAAACTGCTTTTATATGGCAGTTTTCTAAATTTAATTTTCGGCCATCACATTTCGTTAATTTCTTACTTTTTAGACGGAGTCCCAGGCAGTTTGGAAGCAATTTTATTTTCTATAAGGAAGGACCCAGGACTAGAAGTTGAACACAATAACTTTTTTTAGAAAGCTGCCATAAAGCAGTTTTTATTACTATACTGTAATGTACCGGTACATGTTGAGTGTCGCCTCTGGTGTGCCTTGTAAAGGGACAGGTGAAGGCCATCCGAGCATTCCATTGATTGGTGACAGAAAAAACAAAAGAAATTATAGCAATAAAAACTGCTTTATGGCAGCTTTCTAAATTTAATTTTCGGCCATCACAGGGAGTTTGCTACGAGCGCTCGAGCGCTGCCTGGAAAAACTCACTGTGAACTCGAAGAAATATTCCGCGCGAAAGCATGAAAAATGACAACTCACTCAGGTCGATGTCGGTACAGTCGTGTACGTCTGGTTCACAACAAACGAGTTCTTCCTCGTATCGATTATGGAGTCAGAGAGGACATGTCGAAAGTGTAGTAAATGCCAAGGCTGACGAGCGGCATGGGTCCCAATATGTTTTGTGACCAAATAGTTTCTTTGAGCTGCGATGCTATTTACTCTCACCATGTGACGAAAACGACATCGACACAGACTCATTCCCAAGGCCATGACTTGGCGAAGCTATCCGTATGACTTCGACAACATTTTGAGAAAAGCAGACGCCTGTGGAAGCTGATAGAAGACGGCGTTGACTTCTAAATTCAAATAAATTGGCGATCTTGAAATACTAAAATAATTCTCAAAAAGAAATCGATCGATCGATGTGCCGGTGTATTCAACACTTAGCTACAGCGCAATGACTTCCGTATTCACTCACACCGTTTCAGTGTTGTGGGTGTGTTCACATGGCGTGAGCCAGTCAAGTGTCAGTCAGATCGGGAGGAAGCGGGAGCTCCAAGAACAACAATCGTGAACAACTACAAGTCTGCTTGATCACCAAAAACAATAAAAAAAAAGTGCGAGTTGAAGATAGGTTGGGATTTGAACTCACAACTTCATGGTCAGCAGACAGCATCCATAACCACAAGGCCAGAAAGGAAAAGATAAATCGTGGGTTTTGATAGAAAAATCGATACTGGCTTCCAGGGCAAATTGCAAACCATGGGAAAAGGCCGGAAACCTGGCCGAAATTCTAACTCCTTAACGGCTGGTCCAATTGTTCCGAAACCTTCACAGAACAATTTGCCGTGCCCTAACCAGCCCTTTTATGTACTTCGTTGTCCAATTTCCCCTTATCTTCATACTTTTTAAGACCAAAACCTGATTGCTAATCTTTTTGAAACAGACTAAGTGATCGGACATCGTCCATCAAGCGTCATTTGTCGGGCAGTGCTAGTTGTCGTAAGTTGTATAGTGATGATATCTTTTCGATTTTGACTCGTGGAAGGTCTAAGTTACATCTTGCTGTGTTAGAAGCTCTGTATATTCGTAAACTAGATCCAGAACTATGTGTACAGAAGGAGAATGTGTTATCGTTGCAGCTGTTTGGTGTCACACCTCGTGAAAGTGTGACAAGTGTTCCCTGATGTGTTCAACGTGTTTGTCTACAACTTGCAGCTGTTTGTTTTTGAGTTTTTAACACTTTAATCATTTTTAACATCTATGTTGAAGTGTTGACTTTTTCTTTCTTTCATTCTCTATATAGTTATGTGTTTTTCTAATTTCCAACATTCCCTGTACTATCCTGAAGAGAAGGGAAAGAAAACGTTTGATAGAAAAAGTGTCTACTGAATTGTGTGGATTTGCGTCGTTGCATGCGAATACGTATTACGAAACTGTTTTTCCCACCGCCTCCAAACTAGTGTTTGAATTATTATTTTTCCTGGTATTATTGAGTACATAACCCCCACTCTTGCTGGTAAGTAAAAAGTAAGTAATTATCGTATCCGTTCCCGAAGGGAACTCACTCTCTTGCTGGTACATGTACATGGTACCAAGAGTACATAACCCCCCAGAGTGTGCAACGCCTGATCCAGCTCTGCATAGGGTCTTGCCCGACTCTTGTCTTGATCTTGGTCGAGCGGAATCGGATCTTTGCGTCATAATAGAGAGGTTTTGCATTCCGAATTTCGGAATTATTTTCGGAATGTGGCGGCAGCAGTCGAAAAAGTAGTCGAACTTTCGGAAGTGTGGTGGCGAAAGTGCATGGTTTTCCGAAAATGGATTTTCGGCTCTTTCATGTTTGGGAGTACATATTTGAATACAAAAAAGTGTATTTTTCATGTTTGTATTTTTGCTTTCTGCTGCTCTCGATTATTTGAAAAAATTTCCACGTATGTAGTCAGTTTGATTTTTGCTGGTTTTGCTGCTCTCGCTGATCTCGCCATGTTGACTAATCTTCTCACACTCCA